ACCGTGCAACAGTAGGAGAGAGACAGTATGGTGTAACTTAGTCGCAGATGTCGTTGCTAACTGTTGGTCCTTTTCGTCTAGCCATCGCCCGTGGGGTGGCAGAGCGCGATACGGGTCTTCAAGAAGTCAAATGAATCAGAAATTCACCTGAAACGATGACTCACAGGTGGGCCCATGGTTGGAGCGAATAAAATCGGAAACAATGTAGCAGTGAACCCAGTAAAACATGAAGGCATCAACGACTGTGCAAACTTCTTGACATGAGAGTGATGCTGTTTCAACTTGCTTAAATGAAAAAAGCCGCAGCCAGCATGTGATTATTTCCTTGGCGTAATCGTTAGATGAGGCCCATGATGTCGAAACCTGAGGTATAAAGTGTGAAGTCCGTATCGTTATCGACGAAGAAGAGCACGCTACAACTCACGCAAGCCTGAACCGTACTTTGACTTTTCGTGTCTTTCCTCCACCGGGTCTGTCTAAATCCATATCCCCCCACTTCATGCCACGCCTATGGGCCTGACCGTCAACGCTGACTCGATATGGTCGTCCTCTCTCTGCTCTCTCTCTCTCTCTCTCCAGCCCCTTTGCCTCAATTCCCAATAGTGTGGAATACACTAGGTTCCTCTTACCCTTTCCATCGCATGACAGATAGTCAATCCTGATGGTGTGATCCCTCTTGAGAAGCAGACTAACAGTAACCTTACCTTTTAGGTCCTTGCTAGCTAGACACTATCATTTTGGAAAAAAACTAGAAGGTAGAAAACCAACGATGGATTTTTTTGGAAACATCTAGTAAATAGGAATAGGAGACCAGGTCATGAAAAAAGGCCTGGATAATACGAAGAACAGCCATGAACTTTGCAACAGGACTTGTATGGTTTCACTCAAAACATACTAGTGGATATGGTTGTGGATCGTTAAATCAGATGGAGAATAGAAGCAGAAAATTAGGACAAAAATATGGAATAGAAATATGGTTTGGTTATTAATATTCCAAATAAGAATCAGGCATTTTGTAAAAAATGAGGCATAACAATGCAGGATAAGTAGGAAGGAAAAAGAAATTGTACATGCCGTCGGCAATCATTTCTACTATCTGATGTGCTGAATTCTCAGCATTGCCAGACATACACATACTTTGTTTCGTATACATGAAAGTTAAAGTATTTACTTTTAAACTGAGATGCTTTACTGTAGAGCTAATGGGACGAGTGAATCAAATAGGTCACATTGCTGAGTCAATAATCATACGGTGTGCCTAGTTTAAGCATAATTTTTAACTACTCACATTAGATATATATTCAGAACAAATCGTAATCTGAGATGACTTAGTAAATATACAGAAGTGATTGTTAAATAACACGTTTTTGAATAAGATTTGACTAAAATGGAACATCTGTAAGAATTTAGCGGGAGAGCATGCGTAGTTTATGTGAATGTCTATGCAGAGACCAAATAATTTATCGATCTGATTTGCCACTCTGAATGTGTAAGTAAGTTCGGATTAATACAAATTCGTGAGTTTGTTGTAAAAGGTAGTCTTGGAATAAATCACGTCTCTGTTTTACAAACAGTTACCAGTGGAATAGGGAACTATATCGAGGCTGAAATTAAAACGATTATACCCATAAATTGAAACAAAATGTGGATGGTGTCTTGATACCCAAAGTTTGTTTAGCATTTGTTTAGAATCGAAAAATTTAATAATTTAATTGGTCAGAACAACCCGAACACTCTTTGGATTACCCAAAACAAGCCGCCAATTATGAAGAGGAACTCTAGGGTAAGGTCATCGGATAGGGCAAATTTGTTAGGGTTCTCCGTGTGGTTTTCTTGTGCCTTCAAGAAGCTCAGAAAGTGCTAGGGATTGTCGAAAGCGTAAAGCGCTGCGCATACAATACTTAGCCGAAAGTGTGCGCCTACGTGAACTTACTGTTCTCAAAATGCGACAAGACGTTGAGCGAGTATGTTATTTGCCCAGTTTAGTATGTTTTAGTTATTGGAGATCTGCCATGAAATCGACAACGGTGAATTTCCTCAGAACGCTGTGGCTGAATTCGGCATCCCGTATGAGTAACACAATCATTCCTCTAAAGTGCATTCATTCTTTGGATATTATGACCTGAGGTTTCTTTTTTCTTCATATATTTGTCACTGTATGCTTGTACAATCTTTTCTTTTAATGTTTTCTTTTCTTTGAATGTTTTTTAATAACCATTCTAGTATACGTTTGGTAATTTTATGGATTGCGGTCAATATCTTTATTTAATCTGTCTGTTCCTATATTAAAGCGATGTACCTTATTGTACCCGGTATAAAAATTAAAATTATTGATGTTCTGTCGTTTACCATAAATTGTGTTATCTTAATTTGAAATAGTAGATTTCTTTGTGCCTGCTTGCTAGATGCTGCCAGTCCCTCGAAAATATTCGAGCGTTACCTAACATCCTCTGTTGTCACCCTGCTATTGGTCTTATTTTTTTTCACCTGGTCTAAATACGGACTCTCAGTATTGAAGTGCAGTCATGAAAATATTTCGGGTTGAGTAATATAAGGTACGCGATTGCTGCGGTTTCAAAGTTCGAAATATCTCTAAAATAACACCATTCTCTTCCTTTCGCCTAATACAGTAGCTGCAACTTGGTAAGGGGCTGACACCCAAGGTGGTACTCTCTTGCCTCCTGATGCAAATATCTACGAAGCTAAATGATGATTTCTGGGTCTCACATCTGCATAACTACTTTTTAAATAGTTGTTTTAAGTAGATTTTTGTTTGGGTCTCGAAAGGACTTTGCCTCAAGTTCGCGTTGTGGCTTGGTCTTGAAATCGTTTTCGTGGACAATGCTCCTGAGGTGTCTCTTATTCTGTGACAGACTCTGTATCTACACTAAATAGGTGGTGTCTCTACCAGGGTATCGTCGCAATCCGTTGATAGCAATTAGGTATCACTCATATTAAGGTTATTTTTTAGATTCATTGCAGGGATGCAACGAAATGAGTCTGCGCTATTCATCTCGAAGTGTGTCTGCGCTAAACTGAATTCATAAAGGCGTTAAATGTGCTCATATTTCGGATACAGTAGTTTAGGCCTGGTAGGTTTGTCTGAGTGTCGTACACAATCGTTGTAGTAAATCGAATTCAAGTGCTACGGAAAATTTTGCAATGTACTTGGAGGGTTACCGAATAATGTTATGGTTATTTCTGCAAAATTCTATCTGAGCTTCCTCGTAGCTCCAGTTATATTACATAAAACTTAATACTTCTTTAGGAAGTGGAATCAGACATCCTGCCTGAAGGTCTTGTAAGTGGATAATCACCTCTTGAGTTTTACGGCGTCATTATTCTTGAATTTTAAACTTCCTGTGCCTTTTGAAATGCTCCTAAGGTAGTACGTCATTCTTACCCCTTATAAATTAATGAGTGATGTCAAACAGAAGAGCCGGCGATTGGTAAATAAAAAAACGAACGCCACTTTGTTAAAGCAGGATCGAATACCAACACATTCATTTTAAAATTATTGAGATACGTCTGAGGTATTTATTGACATTAACCTTAAAGGTCAGATTTAGCAATTAGGTTCACATTAGTCTTCTCTGTGGAATTGCTCACGTCACAAAATCACGCTAATGACGGTGTTGAGGCGTTCATAAAACCGTAGTGAGTCGAGTGGATTTTGCGTCCATTAACGCGGCCGCCGTATTCCTGGACTCATCGCCCCCTTATTTATGTGGATTGGTCTACGCATGCACCCCTGTGCATCTACTTCCCCTGTTTCTCATTCAGTCATTTGGCCATTCAGTAAAGTAGGCCTTTACAGTCTATTAGTCCATTGGTCATGCATGAAATTTTATGTACACTAACGCGCCACTCAAAACACGACTGGGTTGAGCCATCTTATAAGTGGTTCGGTCCATTCTTCCCCTTCCATCTGATTACTTCCCCGTGTATTTCGTGCTGTATCTTGCCTCAAACAAATCAAAATACTTGGCGCACTAGTACTGATAGGTAGTTTCCATTAAAAGAAACGTCCTCTTACTCCTGCGACATGAACGCGGATTTTCTTCTGAGAGACCTATTTGTCGAATATACTGTCAGTACATTCCAGCCTCAAGTTATGCCTTTTTATCGCCTCGCAGACGAAAGATTCACTGTGAATCCGAGACATGGGCACACAGAACAGCGTCTCAAGCAGTCAAATCGTCATTTACTCCGGAACCACAAGAAAATAAACGGGAACATTTTTAGCCACGCTTCATTCTTGTGTGAAGCCCACATTCAGCCTACGTAGTTTTAGAGCACACATAAGTGTGAAATGTCACGAAATGCGTAGTGGGGCGGCCTAATGTGAACTGTTGCACCCTGTCATCAATGACCTTAAAATTGCTCGAGTCAGTTTCCGTCCGCTGCAGACGTCTCCAGCAGAAGAAAGGCAGCTAAGTGAAAACCAGCCAGGTCGTAAGTCAAAGACACTAGGGCATTAATTTACTCACGTGTTCTCGGTGAGCAAAACTAACGACAAGCAAATCATCCCATGATATTCCCTTTATTTCCAAAGTAGCGCATAGTAAGTAAGAATCGGATTTTTAACTGAGGTCTACATCTCTTATAAGTCCAATTTTAGATGATGCCACATCGGCACTCCTCGTTAAGTGGGCCCGCCCAATTCAATAATTCCTGTCTTAACTTCATGCCTGTTGAGGTCGGCCGCCCGTTCCCAGACATTAGGCCTCTTATTTGTTTAAGAGTGGCACATAATAAACCTTCGATGCATATATGTGCAGAAACCCTTGTCTCAAGTATTGTACCTTCGACAAATTCTAAGTGATTTTGTTCAAATAAGTTGTTAAAACATAAAACCAAGTGTACTCTGTTAAGTTGGAGTGCCACCATTCGATATGGTCTAATTAAAGCAAATCGCTGCTGCCTACAATTTCAAGGGTGTTTGTTAATTGAACTTGTTTATCGGCTATGTAAATATGTTGAATTACTTCATTGAAAATTTAGTCCAGTTCTGAGCTCTGAATCGCACGAGAAAAAAAATTGCAGTGGATGTGTAATTGGCGAATTAATACATTTGTTCCGTGATTTCCAGTCTTATACGGCTGCATGGATGTCAGTTTTCCTACCACTCTCAAAATTTCGGATACTCTGTCTTACATGTTTACACTTGACATTCGTTACCGATTAATCCGTAAATATTGAAATGAGATTTAGGGGTGTATCTTGACAACTCATCCAAATGTGGTACATATCAAATCCGGTAAAATATTCGGATTTGCAATGAGGGGGCCGCAGAGGAACTATCTAAATATTTTGTATTGGAGCATAGAGAAGTTTTGGTTTACAACTCAGATGCCAATGTGTAACATGCGGACTATGCGAAGAAGTTACCAGGCATGAATAGTGTTCGATGACGTGGAAGGTGGTGTGCGTGACTGAGCCCCTCTGTTCGGAAAAGCACTGCCCTCGGTGCTGTTGAGGTGGTGGAGTGTTGTGTGGAAATTCGACAGTGTGGTGAACTGGAATGTCTGCCTCCCATGTCAGGTCTTCTGTATCAGTGTTGTAAGTTTTTCCCAGTCCGGGTTTGAGGCGATTGAAAAGTACTGTGAGGGGAAAGGCGAACAGATCAGAGACGGGGCGGGTGCGGTAAGCGATGTTGGGACGTGATTGGACAACCACGAAGGGCCCTGAGTGGAGGTCGTCAAGTTTCGTGTGGGGTAGGGTCGGGTTGGTAAAGCCAGACTGAATCGCCTGGTTGATAGGGCGCCCCATGAGCCATGCGATCTCAGAAGCGTTTTTGGTGTTCTTGATTGGAGTTTGGGTGTTGTAGAGCGAGGCCGCTAGTCGTGCGGTGAATATCTACAAGTTTTGTGACATATTAACTGGGGACATGTGGTGTCGGGTATCGGGGTGGAAATTGTAAGTCGAAGAGAATGTGGGGTTCACGACCAAACATCAGGAGAGCAGGAGAGAATCCGGTGGACTGGTACACCGTACATTTGTCGGCGAGCAGGCCATATGACATGAGTTCGTCCCAGATATCGTTGTTGACTGTGGCAATGAAGACGCGTTGGAGGGATGAGAGCGATCTGTTTGTCCTTCCGTTTGACCGCTATCCATGGGGTAGTAAGGGGTTGTGCGAGTTTTCACGCAGTCCATGATCTCACTGAGGATTTTGAAAATCCGACTCTCAAAGTGACCCAGTAAGACATGATGGCATTGGCAATGGTGCCAGCCTCATGGCTGAGAAGGTGTGCCGCTTCCACCCTTTTGGAAAAGTTGTCGACCATGACCAGGAGGCACCTGTTTCCCAGACGTGATTGCGGGAATGGGCCTATAATGTCGATATCTAATCTTTGGTTGACGTGTCCCGAGGTGATTGATTGAAATGGGGCCGTGGGACGGTGATTGGGGTCCTTTAGTGGAAAACAAGTTGGACAAGAGGACCAGACATGACGAACCTCACGTCTTAAATCCTGTGACCAGAAGCGTTGGCTAACTACACTGTCCGAGGTAGCCCACTTGATTGTGAATGTCTGTGAGAGTAGCACGTGCCACTGACTGAGGAACCACTAGACGAATGGGGGAGTTGGTGTCGTATTGGAAATAAAGGACCTTGTCGCGGAGAAAAAGGTTTCTCCAAAAGGACCACAGTGAGTGGGCGCCTTGGCTTTGGCAGCTCATTTCTTTAGCTGAAGGTTTGCGTTGACCGTGGAGTAGTCTGTCATAAATTAAGGCCGCGTCAGGCTCCTCTGCTTGCAATTTCTCTCAATTCGTAGCATTGGCGTGGAATGTGATGATGTTGACGTCGACTAGATCGACTGAGGTGTTGGGAATCGATTTTATGGTCGGGAGATGAGAAAGGGAGTCCGCGTTGCCATATTTTTCCCCAAATGAAATTCCGATTGGAATTAGAAGTCGGCTAGGGCCTCTTGCCGACGGGCTAGTTGACCCTCCGGTTCTTTATAACTCCTTAACCAAGTGAGAGCCTGATGATCGGATCTACTCACAATGGGTGTTCCTTTCAAGTACACGGCAAACATTTTTGTAAACGCAACAATCGCCAAGAGTTCGATTCAAGTAGTGCTGTAATTGCGTTCCATCTTACCTATGGCCCTGCTCGCATATGCTATGGCGTGTTCTGTGCCGTCGGTTCCGCGTTGGGATAAGGTTCCACCTGGAGCGTGGCTGCTATCCTCGGTGTCCAGAATGAATGGTGATGCATTAAGGTCCAAGTTCGGAAGCATCAAGACGAGCGCCGCGGCTAGTGCTTATTTAAGTTGTGTGAAGGCCTCTTTGCACTCCAATGACCAGTCGAAGGACCTGCCTTCCACCGTAAGCCGTTGTAGGGTAAATGCTATCCGGCTGTACACAGAGATTAAGACGCGGTAGTAGCCGGTCAGGCCTTAGAACGAAAGCACTTCGTATATGGAGATGGTAATAAGCTATTCTTTAACCAGGTTAATTTTGTCAGGATCTGTAGAGTCCAGACTCCTACGCCACGTGGCCGGTAAACTCGATCGATTACTGCATAAAGCAACACCTTTTCGGGTTAATGGTCAGGCCAGCTTGACGATACCTCTGAAGGACTTCGGCTAGGTTGTCCAGCATCTCCTTTTCAGCTGAGCCGAACACTATGAAGTCGTCTAGATAGATCGGACATTTATGTTGGAGAAGGCCTTGAAGGACTTTCTGCATTATACACTGACAGCGTTGGCTAAGCCCATGGGAAGGGTGCGAAACACGTAGAGGCCGGAGACTAGTGTAAACGCGGTCTTTTTCTGGTCTATTGGATCCACCTTCATTTGCCAATAGCTGCTGGAGAGGTCAAGAGTGGAGAAATGCTTTTGCCCGGTCAGAGCATTGAAGAGATCGTCCATTTGCGGGAGGGGAAAAGAGTCACGAAGTGTTCCTGCGTTAAGTTTCCGATAGCCGATACAGAGTCGGAGAGCACTATTCTTCTTCTTGACAAGAGTGACCGGTGCTGCTCATGGAGATCATGACGAGGTAATAATGCCTTGTCGAAGAAGGTCGTCTACAAGATCGCCTAGGTCTGCGCTGTAGTGTACTGGGATTCGACGTGGGAAAGCGTCACCGATGTTTATGGTATGCTGGATAACACTAGGTTTTCTGATGTCCTGACGTGCTAAGTTGAGTACATCGTCAAACTGTTACAGAAGTTCCTGAAAGCGGAGGCAACTATTACGTGGGATGTTGGAGGGAAGATGTTGGAGGGTTCTGATAGAGAGTTGATAGAGTCAAAGTCGACCACTGGGAGAGAGGATTCCAGTTGTACACGATCAACTTGGCCCGTGGGCAGTCGATGACACCCTTGTGAGCGCTTAGGAAGTCATACCTTAGAATAACATTCCATTGGCAGTCTGGGGAGACAAGGAAGGAATGTCGGGCTTGAATTGAATCGACCATAACCCGGGCCATAACTGAGCCTGCGATGTGCAGCGTGGAGCTGTTAGCTGCGAGGACCAGTGGGGTGGGAGGGGTCAACAATGGGAGATTTGCGATGGCGGAGAGCTTAGGGTTGACAATGAACACCGCTGCCTCTATTTGACCTTGCTTTCCACAGTAGCAATTTAATGGGAACCTGAGAACCTAAGCCAATAGTCAACGTTGACGTTTGACCTTTCAAGGCACCTCGGACGGACTAAACCAATGGAATTATAAAAGGCACCATAATTTCAGAAAGCCGAACTTCATGCACGCAATTAATTACACAAATGCATTTTTAAAGGTGTGAGACCCGGAGCAAATTTACATCTAGGTACAATCCCATTGGCAATAATATGTGATGCTAAAGACGCTTAATTCAATTTTCCGTGAAAGAAATAGGGAATTTTGGTTGGTAGACAAATATGGCACCTTAACAACCAAAATCACGATAACTGTTTAAAAATATGATTAGACATTGATGCGAAATTATCAAGCTTCTGCATTTCAAGCGGTTTATTATCAGAAGATGTAGTTCTGCCTAATGCTAGCCTTTCGTGTTCTCAGTAGCACATGATTCAATAAATCTACGAGATTCCTGCATAATGTTTTCCTTAAAAATCTAGCGAGGTTTCTCGTTGTATTTAATTTGAACCAAAACATGGCTAAATAAATGTGCACCCAATTTTGCACAACCACAAAAGATAATTTTGGGGATCTATTTATTTCAAGCGCACTGCAATGAAGGTAGGAACAATTTTGGGTACTGACACCTAACCAACAGCGCATCGATAATATTCCTATGAATTAAATGGCGGCTAATAAATAAACGGACTTTCATAATATTATTGAACCAATCCTTCCAAAACTTCTAGCATACTAGAAAAAAAGGAATCAATTTATTACTCTGTTAATGAGCATGCACCATTAAGTCATGTAACAGGAATAAGTTTCTACAGAGCATTAATGTAATTCCTCCGGGTATACACAAAGTTCAGTTGATGGATATAAAAGCAAATATCTTTATTTTATGTATTGATCCTACGATTTGTACCGCATTCAGCTAAATGCAATTACATACGAGAAAATGCTGAATTTGTAATTGCCATATCTTTGGCAGAAATATCAAGAAACAACATTTCATCAGATTGCTCAAATAGTAGTAAACTTTACTATGGCCAAAATAGGTCTAAGTAAATCAGACAGCTTGTCTGTTTGAAAATAAATTAGACATGATCAGAAAAATTTAAGTCCAAACTAAAGTCAAAGTCATGACTATGAACCTTTAAGTGCTTTGTTGAAGAAGAGGCTGGAATTCGGCAAAATTTCAAAAGAAGGCAGTCATTTTTTTAATAATAGAAAAAGAGATGAAAATGAAAACTTTAGAGAGCTGGAAAATTCAATGCTCAATGAAAATGATTGGAATTTTGACATAAAAATGTTTATTTAAATTATAATGTGGCGAAATGTAAACAGTGATTAATTGGATTTGTGAAACGATTTGCAGTAAATAATTTATGAAATCTTCCCTCTAAAACTGAAGCTCAAATAGCTCACTATATTTCAACCTACGGAACATTTGTCAAGGCATATAAATTACTACCAGAATGGCATTTGTGTTCGTAATTGTTCTGTGCAGCACACACAAATTTCGTAATGTCGTTTCAGTTGTTGCAAAATCATGAAACACTGCAGATGACAAATTATTTGCCGCCAAGGAAATATAGGTCAAATTGTGTCGAAAATACATAAAACTAGAGGATGAAAATCCTACATTTACTACATTTGACAGCACTGATGAGTAAGGTTGGAGAATCTATGCACATAAAGTAGTGTTCAAATGATGTTTGGTCAGATCTAAGTGGAATTTGCTACCAATTCTTCGAGCAAGTACCGAGGAAAAACCAGAGTCCAGTAAGTTGAACGAACATAACATTTCTGACAGTCATATTTCTTTTACAAAACCTTAAAAATGAATGCAAAAAACTCATCATAAGAAAAGGATAAGAGTTGTTTAATGTGAACAATTTAGGTTTTTTTCAAAAAGTGTCCGTTAGCACAGGGAATTCGAATCTCCATGTGACAGATTGTGTTTCAAAGAAAGGTGGAAGTAGCTAACTACTCATCTTGTTTTATCTTAAAGACATGTTGACAGTTTTACACCGCTGTTAAAAGTGGAAAAAATTCTTACTCTGAAAAAGAATATTTGTAGACATTAATAATTAATACCACGAAGGAAATGATTCATGCAGATAGAAAATTTGCAAAATGTTTGTACACAATCTTGATTACTTGGAGATATGGCAACTTAAACTAAAGTGCTTTTAGGTCGTTTTTAAATATTGCTCCTTGAATGTTGTTTTAATAATGCCACATAGAACGAGCCATTTCGAAAGGGCTTCCCAGTTATTCCTCTTAGAATGCATCGGGTGTTTGGGAAGGGCTCGAATTCTGCCAAGGCACCGCCTCCCAATCTTACAGATGCTGCAGCCAATGTATGTCACAATGTACATTTCCTCTAAAAATTAGATTGATTCTAGAATAGAGACTCTTGATAAATCCATTGCTTTGAAGAGGGGTGAGGTAACCAAATTACAACAACAGATGAAGGCGATGCGTGAAGGACCTGCGAAGAATTCACTTAAAAGACAAGCTCTGAATAAACTAAAACAGATGAAGGTGTTGGAAAATCAACGAGATATGCTGTCCTCACAAAGCTTCAATATGAGTCAAGCTAATTTCGCTCTTCAGACGGTGAAGGACACACAAACGACAGTCAAAGCAATGAAAACCGGTGTTAAAGAATTCAAGAAGGAAACTAAGAACTTGAAAATTGACGATGTTGAGGTATTCATAATCGATTAGAATTTTGTTTATCTTTTCCTGCTTATGAGATTATTCATACATATGTATATTAGGATCTTCAAGATGATCTGCTCGATATGCTAGAACTCAATAATGAGTTTGGAGAAACTCTTGGTCGTTCAATAATACCAAATGATATTGATGAGGCAGATTTGGAAGCTGAACTTGATGCTCTTGGTACTGATGATCTTGGAAGCTATCTTGATGCTGATACTGCGCCTTCCGTTCCCAGTGCTGATGTTGGCGGTGCGAGTACCGTTCCCTCCGCCCCAAGTGCTGCAAATTCTGTAAGTCCATGCTACCTTTGTGCTGTTCCTCAACTGATTCTCTCCTAGGATTTCGGCAATTCACAGGTTACATGTTTAAAATGACGATATCTCGTTGTTTTTACTCGTCTGTAGGCATATTTTCATGTAAACAGATTACTTTAATCTATCGTTTTGCATGCCGAAGTGGAATATGAAGAATAGTACTCGGAATACTGTTAATTCACAAGTATTAATTAGAGGACTGGACGAAATAGAACTAGCTTACACAAATTGGTATTTTTAAGGTTACTCACAGTGATGCCACAACTAGCTTCAGTTGTATCAATCGAAAGGTACAAACAAGTTTTATTGCATCAGGCAGGATTACGACGATACAAAGTCAGATTGTTGTGGTTGGACCTAGTTAAGAACCACCACCCAACGTTTTCATTAATTGGATGTTTTTGGAAACGGAACTAGCGCGTTGTGCTTCACTTTGTCAGACTAAATTATTGATTAACTGGATTTCTAGTTTCCGCCATAGTTTACGGAAAAAAATGCTTATTGTCTATATGGCTGCCCGAATTTCGTCTAGATCCACAGTCTATAAAATTACACCTGAATCTTGTAAATAAAGCAAAACATCTAAAGAAAAAGGGAATAACGGGAGTAATGAAGGTACATCAGTTAGATTTTAAAAAAAAAAATAACTTTTGAGTTACAAATCTATTATCTGAAATCCACATCAAAAATGCAGGTGCTACTAACTTTAATGCTTTCATTTATGCATTGTTAAACTGTGTGGAAGAGAAGTCAACTGTTTGTGCGAATTCTTTCATTTTCATTACGATTCCAGCTTAAGTTTTCTCGTGTGGGCGTCTTGGTAGTGTCTCTAACATTTCGCATCCTCAAAGGGCGCCTACCGCCAACGCCCCCGCTTGCCTAATTGAGTCATATTATGAAGTTCTCACTTCACTAATAGATATCGATAGGTTAGGCAGGATTTTCCAAACACCCGATTTATTTTGAGCATTAACCACACCTAGATCACTAAACAAGTCTGGAATTATGACTGGTAAAACTAAGCAGCAAATATTGTTCACACCACTTTGATGTTTGTCTTGGTGACCATTAGTAAACTCCCCTCAACAAAAGGGCTTGTTTGATAACTTCAAATTTTTTTAGCAATTGCCTTCCACATTCCCATCGTTTGTGCAAACCTTTGTTTTGCGATTCGTTGGACAGGTCCTAGATTGTAGAAGACGGCTAAACAAACGTATTTTTAATTACATCAGTTACCAATTTCTACTTTAATTCCGCATGTTTTGGTCCTCTCAAGAGGTCTCTTAATCATTCTAGAGTTCAACTAAGCATCTTCTTCAGTTACATAACAAATCCGAAGGTTGCTTCTCTGTCCTGCGTTATCGCGTACCTATAAGAGTACCGGACAGCTTGACAAAAATCGAACCATTGCGCTTGCCCTACTTTAGATTATCTCGTGCATTTAACCACAGACTTCGATTTCACTTGAAAGCCCGGCTTCCTTAAAACCTAGCTTTGCTATCCACTTCAGTACCTGTGAGCGTTTGGTAATCGATGCTTAGAATCCACACCAAGTTAGACCTTCTAAATTTGGGAACACGTATGTATTCGATCAAATATGGCACTTGGGTTTTTTGGGAGCACGTCACTTGACAAGCATTAATGTACACAATAATTCTTTCGTAAATAAGCGCTTTGTAGATTTATATCCTACACTTGCAGGGCACTGTTCCGTTGGACGAGTTCGGACTTCCTCAAATCTAGATCCAGCTAACCCTTGACTTCCGCCATCCTACGTGTATTGACATTCAGCTCCTCCATTTGACACTATTCTGTATGTTTTTTTGTGTGCAACCCACGCAACATCTACACGGTTTCTTTCCTGCCTTTTTACTTTGGTTGACAATAGATACTGACACAAATTGCGATTTAGTGGTGATTGTTTTGTACAAAAAAGCTGCAAAACACCATTAAATGTGAGGTGTGCAGAGGTACCCGTATCCGCGGCTGCTTTCATAGGGGTGATCTCCAGCATTAGACTATCAAAATTAATTCAAGGTACTCACGCAGCCTCAATAAACACGTGAAAGACCCGACTGAGTACAAATTGGGTACAGTGGTCATTAAACTATCGTAGCACAAACTTAGGGATGTAAAGCCGCATTTACAAACATAATTAATGGTTTACATCCTTGGCACTTTTGATCGGCCTATGCACTCTTTCAAGCGTAGAAATAACTTTCAGGATTTAGTCCGAATAGCTCACGACGTAAATTATCGGGTGCATGATTAGAGTGGCTTGTGGTCATGGCATTCCTACGTGTCAGGTACAAAAAACCGGCCCGAAATATCAAGTAGCATTCTTTATTCTCGCCGAGACATCTGAAGTGTGCTGTAAGGGAAACGGACCTCAACATCAGAGCATTTGAGTGTACTCTTCGCGTGAAACACGAAATTGGAAGCAGAAGCCGCTGTGCTAAATCGCAGCGATTCACACAGGCAAGTAAGTCACCCGGGATCAATTACAGTGGAAATGCTGGAAACCATGCCCGGTCTAAGGAGGATTCGACGTGAGAATTTGGCCCTCAATATATGGCTAAGTTACTAATACGAGGTATGCGTACAACAGGAAATTCTAACCAGCAAAATATCACCGACGAACCTACCTGTTTCGAGTTGACTTTTAGTGATAAATGACCACGCAGGCCGGAAGAAGCTGGAAATAGCTAACAAAACAAAATTCGATGACACATAGGAATCAGCTGACGATGACGCCGCGATCGGACCCACAATAACTGGTTGTGTTAAACATGCATTAGGTGACATATATCTGTTCTAAACCAAGGAAAAACCGGAGTGTTGAAACGATGTTCAGCCATGAACTATACTAAAAGCTGCAATCACAGGAAACAAGCTAGGATAGGAAACCCGGATCAACACTAAATTGAACAAGAGTAACTGAGCGCACGTACAGCCTACTTTAAAGTATGCAGACGCAGCAATAGCTAAGCAAATAAGCTGAAAAACGCAAACGAAGCAATTAACGCCGCTATTGCTAATTGCGAAATACCTCTTGAAATGAAGTTATACATCAAAAAGACAACATCTGATGGGCTAAAAGGAAGGCAAGAAGTGCAGTATATTACGCTGAAAGTAAAGATATACAAACGCTATTAATATTTATTGAGATATTTTGAGTCCTGAGGTGCCTGAAAGCAACTACGGCAGACCTAGTCCTTTTCATGATCAGCGAAACCCCAATATTGTTTCATCGCAGTGAAAAACGGAGTCTGACCGTCACCCCATGGAAGTGGCTACAAAAATAATTAAAAAAACTAGGCAACTAACCCTTATATCCCTAGGGAAAGGTTTGCAAAAGGGCTTTCCAAATTCTTCTTCCTCTTTAAGGCGCTTTTGCTTTGCGCGTTTCACAAAAAAGTACGCCCACAAACAGGCTGGTAGAACCGCAAGACTTATAGAGACCCAAAATACTTTTTTTCCTTCGACGTATGAAACAAAAAAAGATCCATACCAGTACTAATAACTTCATGCTTGTGGAACTGAAGGCTGTAGGCACGACGAATCTGCCTAGGCAAAGTCGAAGACATCGCCCTACCCTATTCCGGCTCCAAAATAATAGCCGCCTCCCATGTTTACAGAATTTAAACAAAACGTTTTGTTGCAGCTGATTACGATAATTTACAACCTGTGAAAGAAAAGGATCTGTTCTTCTTAAAATCTTTTAGCATGTTGTTGCTATGTTAATCAATGTTTCTTCAAAACCATGCTTATATCTGAGACCAAATGTAGTGTCGCGCAAATTCCATCTTCCAACGTCATCCAGCCCGCCCTTTATCTTATTGTTCCTTTCATGGTCTTGCCATCTACTGACATATCCTTGAAAATTACAATGGCGCCTATGGCTTAGCGGTCAGCCTCTACTCACCGTTGAGCCACTGGCATCCCGTAACGAATGCTGCCGCTTCTGTTCACTTTAGCCCTGTAGCTCTGCACTATTTTTATTAGAAACATTGTAAGTTTGCCACATTCCTATTTTGAACACTAATTGTCTGTTTCTAGCCCCTACTTGCTCGTTACGTTAAGAATTCATTACTAATCGTGTGGCCTTTTAATTACTAACAACAGAAACGCAAATTTTGGGCAGCTCTGCGGCATTTTCTTTAAATGTATTTTGCTGCAGTGCGTGGATTTATTACTAGGATATATAATCAATATTGCGATATGAGAATAGGATTTTCGCATTCGTGGTTTTTTATGATGTTTTGGGTGCATTTTAAATTCAGAAGGCATGAACTCTATCAGAGTAAATCCAGATGAAAAACGTTGGCACATTCGTTAAAATAAATTTTGAGTATCAGATTATTATCAAATGCCATAAATTAGTGACAGAACATTTGTTTGAAAGTTTATTTAAGCTGTCGCCTTTTTAATTTTATTTTTTGTTGAAATATCGTGTCTACTAATTTATGAACCATGCCTGTGCCCGAACCGTTGCCGCAAACGAATCATTCTTCTCAATATGAACCATACGTATCGTATTTTGGTGATATAAGTGAGGTGAATGGTGCTGTCGATCACATAATTGAAACCCTTTCGTCTAATGGGGAATATTCAGGGATTGGTCGTGTTCAAAGTGAGCTATTTAGGGTAAGTGAGCATTTCACTTAATAAATATTTTCTTTAGTTGTTTCCTCACGTAAGGCCGTTTCTTCACGATCGCAGGATTCACCCGGATCATATCCCAGCAATAATTGTCCATCGACAACTCATTCAACATGTCAATTCTCTTTTATGGGCATATGCTGTCACTCATCCGATTGTAACACTTAATGACTTGGACGCATTGATGGAGGTGCGCCAAATTGCGTGACTGTTAAGTTCGTCTAATGTAGGCAGAATGTCGCGGTCGTGCTCGATGCTTGGGTCCAATTTATGCTCTTCCAGTAGCTCAAGAACTGTGCGATGTTTCCTGTTTTCATCAAAGCGTGAAAGACGCGTTTAGATTAGCTAATGAGAGTAGTACCTATAGGCCATCGGTTCAAACCGTAATGAATGAGTTGAGTAGTTGCGTTTGCAAAAATCGCTACCGGCTTCCCTCAACTAGCCCTCGTTCAACAAACCGCTGGTGGGAAGCGGTTTTCACACAGCATATGCTTGTGTACTTCAATGATTCATCTGTGTCCACACTGACGGGAACTTTTGATCTTGAAAGTTTTAACTTCAGTCAACTTGGCCCTTATGGGATCAGGATACGTAGTTTCGCCAAGTTAATTGAAGTGAGTTTTCCTAGTTTATTTACTGCACCTTGTTCCTTTTTCTAGATATTGTTTAAAAGAGTAATTTAATCACTTTTATAACAGTTCTGTCGCGATTTCCCTGTGTTATTTTTATTGGTAAATTTATGCACGTTCGCTTTTAATCACAATTGATTATCATTCGTTTGCGTTGATGATAAATGGCTAGAGGTAACAATTTATTTTTTTCCACAAATCTTGAGACACTTTTTTGCACCTTGATCTTGCATTCTGGTGAATAAACAGTCGTCGTGTTCCGCCCCTTTGTTCTCAGCTATTATGGACCGTTAATTGGACGGGTTATGAGCGGTCTTAAGTAATTACATTGGATGTCTACGACACCAAATTTGGTTGTAATTCTCTTTGAAGTGTTCAATACCCTCTTTTCTGTAAACGTCGATTAACTCTATGACTGAAGACTGTTAGAAGAGCGGCATCAAAGTCAATTTTTCCCACTACCGTTTCTACGCCTGGTTATGATCTCTGCAAACGTAGGCTTACTTTCGCATTTTGAGGATTACATCCCTGTCCTTAATGCATTTTGTTATAATGCGTTACCGACCGGTTGCGATTAAAGTATTTGTTCTCATTGACCCTATGCCATCCTAAAGACAGTAAAAGGATCGCCGTTATCACATGAACAACTAGCTCAGGCACCTACTTTATGCCATCGAAATACATGGTACTCCGCCAATTTCACTGATGGGGATATGATTTAACGACTCAGTCCTTTTCTAGCTACAACTGAAGTGCCTGGCGGCTAACTCAAATACATATTCCAGGGAGAAATATTATCGCGGCATGTAGCCATCCCCACACTTCCACATTACACAATCACACTTTTACGTCACCACTGACTCTTAACGGCTTAAGCACCCAGTCTAGTTGTCTCTTACGCTCCATCGATACAGTTAGTGATTTCGAATTCCGGATCGAAATCAGTGTCGGAATTAGTGCAATTCACGCAGATCCCTACAAATGCCACCTCGATCTGCAATGTTAAGCCACTAAAAACTCATTCTTTGTGACTACCAATTTTGAGTTTTGACCGCAGATGACAATCCCTGTGGCTGAAGTGTAGCAGCCAATAAGTGGTGCGGATTCCCTTTTCTGATTTCATCTCCTATTTGACTTCAATTAGCTCGTCGACAAAAACACTAGTTTATCTCTTCAAGAAGTTCCTGCCTCAGTAAATTCATGTGAAGTTCGCTTAGTATTTCCTGCTTTTTACAGCTATAAACTACTGTGACAAACAGTTCAGATACCCAGGTCATGCACCATATTATAACTGCTGAGACCATATAATACGGATCTAACATAGAATATTTGTGCCATTTTGGCGCACTTTGGTCTTCTAGCATACCTCGGAAGTCCTCATTTCACGTGCCATATACGAAGTCTAGAGGCCTAAGACATAGTGCCGATATCAGTCTTCAATAATGCCGTTGTTTCTGCCTAATGACATATTCCATAGACCCATGACTATACATCTGACTTAGACTGTGCTAACGTCTTTTCAAGACGGTCGTGTCCGAGATCATCACCAGACACTTGTTACTCCAGAAAACATACCCAGAATTATCGTTATCGCTCCAGCATAGATTAAAAGAGTAATAGTCCTACACATCGCTACCAGCTCGACACCCAACTGCAAGACAACTTCCATGCGATACACTCCAATTCAGCCATAATAGTCGCAATGAGGCAGGCTCTAAGCCCGACTTCAGTAGTTTTAGAGAATGCCGATTGGTTCACGTACTACGGCTCAGACTTAAGAGGTCCACGACCATATTCACATGGTCTTAATTTCGTCTTCGCCCAAATCGATATCATTTATCGTGAACAAAGACGGCGAGGAACAGGCATCAAGCTTACGTCAAGTCTTCGATCGTTTTGGACTTTGTGATATTACCATAAACCCTAAAAAGTGCTTTCGGATTTGGCGGCGTTGATAATCTTGAACACTTCATTGATGCTTGCAGTATCAAATCCTTGATTGAGAAGTGGTCTGGTGAGCTACTACGCACGTTTCATTTCCCACGAAGCTGCGATTTCAGCCCCTCGGATAGATCTATTTCAAAGGAAGATCACAACCCTAGCGCTTACGAAACAGTTCGAAACTGCCTTTCAACAATTAAAAGATGCCTTCGCAAATTTCCCGAATCTGTGCTACTGGACGAAGGAGTAATAATTTGTCTTCGAAAGGATGCTTCCCGAACTCCCACAAGAGATGGACGGTTGCGTGCAGATATTATCGTTTTTCGCCCGAGAACTTCAACCAGCTCAGACCCCTGATATCATATTCTCAAGAGAACTGTTGATAATTTATCTTGCAGTGACGTAATTTCGTCATCTGCTTGAAAGTCGTGAATACACCACTTTTTTCCGATCCCAAGCCCTTAATTTGATGCTTCTCGCGCACCATCTGACTGATATTCCTCGCGCAAATTCAGATATCTTGACTGTTTCACAGTTTGCAATCATTATTCGCCATGTTGATGGGACTACAAACATCTTATATGAGACGGACTCTGTAGCACACATTTACAATTTTCCACTTCCAGGCATCAATTTTAAGCAGCTTGCTGTAGCGTAGACAAAAAACCCTGAATCGTGCCACCTCCTGTTTTGATCTATTCCCCGGACTCTGTGTCCATTTTGCCTACACGATGAGTTAATCTTTAAGACTTCAGCATGTCCCACCTTGATCACTCTCAAGGGTGGAGGGGATTGTCTCTGCGACTTTTCGTTTCAGTGAAACTTTAAATAGACGGTTCGTTGTAAGTGTTTTACGTATTGCCTCTGTTTGCTTTAGTCGGTTGTTGAAATGCTTCGTCCTGAAAGTCTAGCCCGAGCCTCAAAAAATGCGCAGAACATGTTGGACACTGACATTCGACAAATTTACGGAACGTTTGCCAACAGGGTGGTGACAAACGAAGCAATAGGTATGTACACCCACTCTTTTCATTGTCAGGCTTGATTGCGAACCACAACCGGATGGCAAAACACACTTTACAATCCACGAGTGCTTTGTTTATTATACTTATTTGCATGGTATAGATTTGATACAAATATTCATAAAGCCGATATTTGTCTTCCAAGTTCGACAGCGTGGTGGCCACAGTTAATGCACCATTGGGTCTTCTGTAAAATCGTTTGATTCTAGAGCTTTAACAAATTACAAACTTTCAAATCTTAGTGAATTCGTGATGCAGTGGTGATTTGCATGCCCAAAACGTTTGTTCGCTTCCAGTTTTCGTACCACTTTTCCGTATCTCCCTTGACTTAGTAGTTGAATGAAGCAAATGAAAGTTTCAATGAGCGGTGTAGATGTAAGGGTTTGAACAAGGAGGTCTAACTTCTTCCATACAGAAGTCTGAAGAACAGTAATGCATTTTACCTTAAACAGATGGCAACTGATTTGCCTTTGAGAAATGATTCTTATAAATCCCGAAATCACTTCAGCCAAAATTGGGAATCCGACAAGTAGGAATCTTGTGCTTTAACTTAACAAGACGACTCCAATATGTCAATAGTTTGAACACAATAAAGAGTTATTTACCACTTGCGTACCTCGATCAAGAATTAGAACCATTGACTTGAGCTATCAGCGCACATAGACGACTAGTTAAGTGGCTCTTCGTTTCAATACCTGATTCTGTGATATCGATGAATCCAGTACAGTTGGGTCAACTTCATTGTCTTCATGTGTTAACTATTGACTGCCCTATTAGGCTGTGGCGAGTCTTCACGTTGTACAACTTTAGCACTTTCCTAGGGTAATCTGGTCGAATAAACTGAAATGAAATTGATCTCCTGAGGTTTGTTAGGCTTCCTTTGTCTCAATCCCACCGATTCTTTATTTATCGTGAAATGGTTGATACCAACTTGTCTCCATTTTTAACGCTATACAAAAAAATGGAGATACGGAAAGGCTGTGGCAAGTTGTAGCTTGTGGGCAAGTTGTGGGAATCAGGGTAATCTGGAATTATCTCTGTGCCCTATTAGGCTGTGGCGAGTCTTCACGTTGTACAACTTTAGCACTTTCCTAGGGTAATCTGGTCGAATAAATTGGAATGAAATTGATCTCCTGAGGTTTGTTAGGCTTCCTTTGTCTCACTCCCACCGATTCTTTATTTGTCGTAAAACTGTTGATACTAACCTGTCTCTATTTTCGTCTCGGCTATACAAATTTTGGATAGCGTTAAGTTATCCTTCTCCAAGCTACTGACGGATCGCTGTCCCTACGGGATTTACGATTATGAGATAACAAGGTGTCAGTACGGATGTCGCTTTTAAAAAAACCACTAGTCCAGTATTTTTACACGGATTCTATTGGCTGGTATAAATCAATACCAGCTCGCATATTATTTTAAGTAACTTAGCACATATATCGCTCTTGGGTTACTTTTCTTCTGGTTTCATCCTGTTTCTATAGCTTTTTTTACCGTAACTAAAAATCTCTAATGATTAATGCTAAGTGAGTTTACTAGTAACTATGTAACCGGGTTCAGCCTAATTATTCAGTAACATAGATATGTAGTTAGAAAACCAAGAGAAATCCATTTCAGGGAATTTGAATAACAGGCTTTTGTCAGTTGAGCGTTCGCTGTCTATTCCGTTCTCTACGCATAATCAAGTACCTATTTACATTCTTTACTCTTTCGCCCTCCCAACTGTCATGAAACTCAAACTGACCAGCACAATTAACACACTATTCACTAAATCCAATGGAGACCAATTTGTTAGGCTGGCCAGTTACAACTGTTTTGTCTTAATTTCCTTAAATTTTGTACGCTGTTACCATATCTGTTCTGGCAGCTGCTCTTTCGTGAGTTGGCGTTCTTAATATGAGCTCGTATTTTCCGTTCATTGTCTTGATTCGAATCATTGCTCTTTTAATATGTCTTGGTGGATTATTCAGTTTTTTTCTTATAATTAAAACGTACATTTTCTCAATCCCGTGAAATATCAAAAAATGTGGAACGTGTCCTAGGCACTTGCTTGCTAACAGCAAGTGGTGAAGTTGCAAAGGATTACTGTACATCAGATCATTGAAGGAGACTTCTGAGTGATTTGGGTTTCTTTGAGTCGTCGTCGTCGTTACCACCACATTTCCTTGATATCAACAGGGTCGTTCAATGAAAAAGTTTAGGACTAGCTCTAATTTCTGATTTCTTGGTCTTTTCTCACACAGAAATTCACACTGCCGAATATCTATTACTGGTACGTTAAAGTACTAGTTGCAAGTTCGGTGTAAACGTTGAGGCGGGTCAGCAACTTGTGTAGAAATCCCCTCAGTTATCTAAGTATTGTTTGTGACTACTTACAGCTTTCAGTTTGAGGCCACGTTTGAAAAAAAAGACTTTTTCCTGTTCTCCTTTTAAGCACGTCTACAGCGGCAAAAACCGGTGAAGGCTCTTCGTGCTTTATCCCGCAATTGCAGAGACCTTTACGATGATTTGGTAAATTGGGCTGAAGGAAAGAATCTTGCATGGCCCTCGGGCTTCATTGAGTCCCTCCTCTCCTTCGAGAAGTTTCTTAACAGTGTCGCCACATCCGGGGTATGTCTGTGGTGCCCATGTATTCCTGAGTTTTTATTGGATGGTCAGTAATTCATGCAAAAATACAAACACGACTCCTCAGAACACCCTGGCCCTCTAGAGTTCGCATTAAATACCCTGCTTTTCTGCAGGGATTAAACTCCTAACCTGATATCCTCAATAACGTATTTTCGAATACCATGCCTTTATAGGCCCGAAATAATCAATAGTCATTATTGAAATGTCGAGGTAACACAGACCTAGGTCTGTTTTTTGCTAATTATTTATACTCATTTATAAATTTTGTGGTTGTTGTGAATCGTACTAATTCACGCCCAATAACCCAGTTGTCGCACTCCTCGCCATTCCGACCTCATGTCCACCCCTGTGCGTGTACCACGCCCCCTCCCACGCTGCCCGTTCAACCATTTGTGCTTTTACAAGTTCTCCCAGACTGCATTGATCGCCAACCCTTTTTAGTCAGGCAAGTTCTCATGCGCAGTTGCGAAAATTGGTTGAGCTATCTGACAAGCTGTTGTCTCGCCCTCTCCCGTCTTCCCTATCTCCATGGTTAGCGAGGTAGCGTATCCAGGCTAGATTAAACTCAGTGGCCCCGGCGTGCTTTGGGACTACATGCCAGGGCCCACAACATGGTATTTCGAAGTAAATACGCACCGAATTTCACCATCGGTCTTTGGAAGCGTGAAAGGTAAATATTCTATTCGAGGTACGCAGCACTATCGACGAAGTCATGGCTGGAGTAAAGAAAGCATTGGACGAATCAGAACCGAAAGAGCGGTTAATGATATTACTTCCGTTATGTGTTCCCAACATGCGCACTTGTTTTTTTCCCCAGCCATTCAGGTCACTCTTGCATTTGGCACTGGTGTACTCCAAAACCGACAATCTCAGCACAGATCTGCTCTTGTCGAAAATCCAGAAGTCTGTTGTCATCAACGTAGATGCTGAATCAGATGTTGAATGTGAGTCAAATCAAGACTTTGAATGTAGCGTTTGTGAATGACGACTTGTTGTCGAGTGTTCATTCTTTGTCTCGATGTGTGGTTATTTTGGGATCTACGAATTTTCGCTTGTGACGTGCATGCAATGCTAACTTTATCTAACGGAGGCTTGTATTATCGTGACTTGTAAATCCACATCAACTCCATTAATCCATCACATCCCGTTTCATATCGATGATGGATGGCTTAAGCTTCCTTACCGTCCACAACGACTAAATTTGACCTGGGTTCAGCTACGTTATGATTAAACACGTCATTCTTGTTCTACTTTTTGAACATTTTAATCTTGGTTACTTAGTTCACCTACTTTCCTATCTTTTTGCGCATTTTATGATTCGTTCTTTATTGCTACACCAACAGGTGGGTCAGTGATCAATTTGGACGAGGACAAAGACGGTGCGGATGCACCATCACTTGCAGAAGTCGTCGAACGTTTTAATGAATTCTTTGACACGTTTTCCAAATCCGTGCGGGACGAATCAGTGGATCCGTGTGTGCCCTGGCGAATTCTCTCGGACATTGAAAAACAGCTAAAAATTTCAACGGGAAAGTCCCTAGTCGCTTTGCTTACTGAAGCCTCAGATAAGGATTTCGATGGACCCAAGCCTAAGGTGCTATGCATGAAATGTAACTTTTGTTGTTTCTTTAGTAAAGTGAAAAACATTCTATGGGAATGTTATTTGGGTTTTTTATGCGATCCATTTTTCCCTGTCCGAACTGTTGGTGGTACTACGTGTTCATTTCAGTTTTTTTGCCTAGGTTGCTCTACTGTTTAGATTTGAGTAAACGAGGGGACAAAAACTTGAGATTTTGGCTATATGATTAATCGTAGATGGTGGAAATAACGATTTTTATTCTTCCTTTAATATTTAGTATGAAAAAAAATCGTCTAGGCAAACCCCTTTTACTCACTTCTAAATTCGCTTCCTTTAGTGTCTGTGCGTACTTCCCCAAGTAAGAGACGATCAACCACAGCCCCACCAGCAGGCAGCACATGGTTCACCAGAAAATGACAACGAAGTTTCCATGACAACTTCTGAAATTCGGAGACTTCGAGAGTTCCTCCGTCATCTAACGTGCTTGGCTGAGCGTTCTGCTGAGGTATTCCACTTGTCTTAGTGCTTGTCGGGTTCGATCTCGTTCACCTACACGCGCCTATTCTCTGCACATTCTAGGCTTTGATGGATGTCGCAACGCAACACCTGAATGTGCCTAGGACGCCTAGTGTTAAACAAATTATCCACTGTATCCTAACCGACACTACAGGCTCGTCGGAGCAACGGGTATTCATGATTCAGTACGTTTTTTAACCGACCTTCATTTAAGTAACATTATATCACCATTATCCTCAGTATAATATTGCTGATTATGTTAGCTAATTGGTGTTAAAATATGCTTGATTGATTTTCTTTATGCAGAGACGATGTTGAATGGGATTGCCATAAATTTAAATGTACCCATGATACCCATGTTTATTTTCTCGGTTTCTGATATTCTCCTCTTCCAGCCCAGCGGAGTTCAGTTTTCTGTGTGCAAAAAACAACAGGAATGTCGATGTGCTGATGCCCCACGAATTGTTCACTCAACGGTCGGCCGTGTTGCGTTTCCTCGCCACGTGTCCTCCTCTCTGCGACCCCGAAAGTTGGACCCTCTGGTCTCTCTTTCCCGGTTCTCTCGCGTCCCACTGGGGTAGTCTCGATGAATTCATTGTCGATACCGTCTCCAGCACAGAAGGTAAGTAGTTTTCCCACGCAACCATCTCGGCCCAATTTGCATCTTTGCTTCTTACCAATTATGTAAGCTAGTGTAGTCGGTTTTCCGTTTGGACTCCTGTGCAGGTTGAGTAAGTCCATGTCTCATTTAAGGGGATGTTTTGGCGTAGGTACGAGCTTGTCTTGGTTCTACTTGTTGCGACCATTTTTATGCAGTAAACACTCCGTCAAGTTTAATCGGACGAAGCCTAATTTTGCCCATTTGCGTCCTGAACGTCGCATTTTGATAATGTCAATCAAACCTGGCGTTGAATGTGCTGAATGGTATTGTAAGACGTTCGACAAGCCAATCTGGTAGTAGCTTGAATGAAGCTGAATTTTCGTTGCAGTTAGGTAGAAAGTGCTTAAGAGTTTCAATTAGATGCATTCCTCTTAATGTTTCACATGTAGATTTCACCCCTCAAGTAAAGCCGCTAGGTACGGTACAGATATTCACAAGCGTGTTTATGGCACCATCCAATTGGTACGATTCTTGGTCCCAAGCCTTAATTATTTCGTGGCTAGAAGTAAAAACAACAAATTCGTTTAAATGGCGTGAAGACATTTTGGACGGTCCTTTGTGCATGTAAAATCTGGGGATTGACCATACGTGGATCTCTGGTTTTTTAACACGTGCCTTGTTTTGAATCATGCTGTCGTGGAAATGACGGCTGTAATCAGTCATTGTTTGAGAATAACTGTTTTTTTTAAATTTAGTAGTACATAATCAATCTCAAAGGGTTTTGTTGGCTTTATGGTTGCATTGAATGATCATAACCCCTCAAATGCATCGTATTTTCATCGCCATTGCAGAGTCTTAGTTTCGCCCTTGATTGAAAGTCACCTCTTCGTGCCCGAATATAATTTTAATTGTATCTTACTGCTTAAAATGACTAAGTGTGGATTAAGGTTTGGTTTGAAGAAACGTCGCCGTGACCGTCGTCCGTGAAATCCACCAGTACGCAGCGTCATGTCTAATTGAAGTCGTTGACATCGTCACGGTCCGCTTTCCTCGCGGTTGTCTCGTCGAAATTACTTCAGCTTGCTGACTGTTAGATGCTGTCTTGTAGGCTTTTACTTAGTTGCTAGCAGCCACGGCGTTCGGCCTCACGTTATCGTAAAATCTACTCGATCATTTTCTCACCGCACCTCCACTAACTGAGAGCTGCTGTCGTTTCTTGTCTAAAGCTTCAATAATTCGACTGTTTGCTTGTCGGAATTCGAGCAATCTTTAGTATGCCTCGTATCAATGACTTTAGACACACAACTTATTTTAACAAAATCAATCGTGTATGTTCCGTAGATGTCTTATTGCCAAATTTTGAGACCCTTAAGTGCATCCCATTCAGAATAAGCGCGACAAATGAGTACGTTACCAACGAAACAACACTGCAGCATTCCCTGTCTGCTTGTGTGGCCCGCTTCTCTTGATTTGTTTACTCCGCTACTTGATAAATTTAGCGTTATATTATCTTAAACCCGCCCCTATTTCAGTTGCCATAGGCGACTAGAGTAATTTAATCCCCTGCTTCGCACTCTGGAAATCATGGTTTTATCGCCTTTTCTGCTCGCGTGGAATTGGGATGAGGGAGTTGCTTACTGTTTAGAATCAGAGAATTTGTCAACGCGTTTTTGGAAAGTAAGCGAAGTCAACACTCATAAACAACCCTTTAGGTCTGCTCCTTGGGAACTCCAGTGATCCTCGCTTTACACCACCTCCGATTTCCCTCTTTCAGCTCACGAGAAATACAACTTGGCCGTTGTCAAATTGGCCTGTAATGGCTACATTCGTTTAACCACAAATGGATCACCATCCGTCCTCGTCTCCCGTCTATCGGAATGCGCTTCGTCAAATTCCGACTTATCGCTCAATTCCCCTCGTCGTCTTTGTGACTTGTTGATTGGTTCTGCCCTTCTTGTAAACCGATTCCTCCCGCCCACTGATTCTATTCGAGTAATTGGTACCGAACTCAGAATGACTCCACGTGAGTTGTTTCTTTTAAATCTCGTCTCATGACAACATAGTAGGCGCCTATTGTAGAATTTACCTAGCTTTCCCGTTTCAGCTATCCCTTTTTTGAAAACCCTAGGTGCTTAAACAAGTTTTTATTCATTTTGGCTTTCCTGATGGGCCATATTCTTTTCAGATGAGAAGATATGGAACTGTCTCCTGCGAACCATCATGTTGGCGTCTCCAATCCCATTACTCGGTGTTCTATTTGCTAAGGTGAGCTGCCCTCGCTGCCACCATTATGTGTGGCCTGTTTACATACCCATGCTCAGTTCAATCTAGTCACGAGGTTCAATCTCTTCATGACGGTTCCGTGAATGTTCGGTTGTCAGGCCGAACTACATGTATTTGCACGCAGAGTAGGTATTGAGCTAATACAGGTCCTCTTGTTAAGATCCTGGTTCCCGCTCTCGCCGAAGTTTCCATTGTCATGGAGGAGGGGTCGGGCCTTCGGGGTCTTGTCGAATGTGCGGTCGAATGCTCCGAGAAAGATCGCCTAGTTACAGCCATTGGGGTTGTGGGAGGCCAACTGGGATGGCCGGTGTGGATGGAAGTTTTCAAAAACTACCGTCTTTCTACAAAAGCGCCATTGACTGAGGTGCCCTCTTGCCAAATCGAGGTAGGCTCTATTGTTTTCCTCGCACTAACGCCTCACGCCTCTGGCACCTTTCACACGGCATTTCCCTTGACAAAATAAACCCTCGTGGCCCGTTAGTCAAACACGTGACACCTTTTTGCGGCCCGGACACTAGTACATGCCTTCTTGTTTTGTCAAGTGTCAGTTGAGTACCACAAGGGAATGTGTATGATTTCACGAGTTTTAAACACCTCATATACGATTATTTTTTGTTTCATTTTCGGAAATGACCCATCACACACTTTTTGATGCGCTTTAACGTGTCTTCGAGAGTTATTCGCAGATAATTGTTATATTCACTAGTTTCCCGGGACTTGTCTATTTTTGCCAAGAACTAATTCTTCTCTTTACGATTTGCTAATGTTGACGTCTTCGTGCTACTCTTACTGCCACTTGTTGCAGACTAATTCCGGCCTCGAAGCCTCTGAGCAGCTCGAGAAATCCGCCCACACCCCAGTGGCATCCAGTCGTAAAAGAGCGAAATCTGTTCGACAGGTGTTGCCTGTCGATTTGCCAACCGACGAACAATCTGTTGATACCGGTGGAGTTGGCGACCGCCAAGACTTCATCGAAAACCTTCGAAAAACTGAATTCGGTCTTGGAATCGAATTGGACGTTAATGCCTTAAGTCTTCTCCAGGTAAGCTTCGAAACTTACTTATTGGTAATGGTGTCCAAACAAGTTATTGCATAATATATGCTTGTCTAGCAGATTAGATTGTCAAGGTGACAATGCTTTCTTGAATGACCACCGTTTTCGTGGAAAAAAGCCCTCATCAGCTACTGTTTTTGCATTTTAAATTAGAACGTCTGCGAAAATAGGTAACACGTACTGATTGCCTTCATCCTGAACCTACCCAACATAAAATATTTGCATTTCTGGGCATATTTACAAGCAAAATTTTATTCCACGAAGTTGAAATAATTGACTAGACGTCTTCTTTACGTATACACCAGTCTACTGAAGTTCATATTTCGCTTTCAGCGTTTCGAGGGTCGGCTTTCTCGGAGCTTGAATTGCCTCTCGCAGGAGTTGTACGGTCAGCCCGGACACTTTCTGCTGGAGCTCATCCAAAACGCCGATGACAACAACTATGCATCTGACACCACACCAAGCATTGACTTCCTTCTGGCGGACAGCACCCTAGTTGTTAGAAATAATGAGGCCGTGGGCTTCACTGAAGCTGACATGGCGGCCCTGTGCGATGTCGGCGTTAGCACGAAAGTTGGTCATCGGGACGAGCAGACAGGTAAAGCTTAGGCGTAGATGTTAGGAAACCCAATTGGCGTTTTTACACAACCACACTGAATTAAATCTCAATGCAATACTTTGTTTAGGTCGCAAAGGTATTGGCTTCAAGTCCGTCTTTGCAGTGTCCGATGGGCCTGAGGTTCATTCTAATGGCTTCCATGTTCGTTTTCAACGCAAGGCGGGCAGTGAAAGCGCTTCTGTTATTGTCCCTGAATGGGTACCCACGTCCTCCCTCGATGTGCACGACGACTCACAATGGAGAACGGTGTTCAAGCTGCCTCTTTCCCCGGATACGTGCGGACCCTCAGCCAGGCCCGATTCACTTGTCCAACTTGCCCGCCAACTGCTCACCCACCATCTGATACTGTTTCTTCGACGTATCGAGTGTATTTTTTTTCGGACCGACGAGGGGGTTTCTGTGAGTAGTATGCCGCTTTTCCCTTACCTCTAATGTTATGTAAAGACCGAAGGTATTCGCTGCGTCTTAGTTGTAGGAAATACTAGATTCGCCTTCTTCACGGGTCTTTTGGCTAATACTGTCAGTGAAAAGACCTCACGGATCTCATAACTGATCTGTGCCTTATTCATCGGGACATTCTTAATCGTTCCATGTTCATTCCCCCATCATATTTGACTCTCATTAGTCGCCACATGAAGGTGCGGATAGTTAACTGCTTGCGTTTGTGTTGTGCCCATTTACCACTAACAACTATTTGATTTCTTCAGCCTTGTGATCGTTAATATCCACCCTTGTTTTAAATTTTAATTTTTTTTTTCGTCTGACACACTGTAAGGTTTGATATGGAGTGTAAATTTTCCGTTTTACCTCCTAATATTTGTTTTTCCATAAGTGGTAATAAATGAGTTAACATGAGGTTGAATTTACCCCCATGGTTTATTCAAGATATTTCTTGAAAAATTTCGGGTGGCGCAAACGATTAAGGTGGAAACCTCGAAACCAATTTACCCCATTTTCCGACCTCAGTTTGACATTTGATGGGTTGGAGCCGCATATTTTACAATTTACCCATACCTTATAACTCTGCTTCAAGGCGTATTCATAATGTAACTGTTCGCAGGAGATTCCGCGCCTGGAAGACACTCGAACCTGACAAAACCATGGTGTTAATTTCCACTCGCCTTTTTCACACCTAATTCAGAAGACTTTAACATCGATATGTAACCACTCGGCTTTGTGCTGCGGTCGTGTAATTGTGCTTTCCTGTAAGAAATATTCATCCAGTAGCAAGTCTCGAAACTCGAAGGTGATCCGAGCCTCGTCGAATAGCATTAGGCCAGTATAACTTTTTTTAGGTTAAGGCTCATGGCGTTGATTCGTCAGTTGGTTAACCCGCGATGTTCTCTTTTTTACCCAATAGAGCCTCCAATCATCTCTGACCTTTCAATTGGAAAGAAAAAGTGAACTGCTATTCACAATGGGTGGTCCAAATCCATCTTTTCTGAAGCTATTCACCGTTACGGAGACGCACAACCAATCCCGAAATTCCTCTAGGTGGCTTCTTCTCAGACACCGCGTCTCTGTCGATACTAAGAAGTTGAGGCATCTCGGTGGCAACAGTATGGCAGTCAAGGTACATTGTTTAACAGAATGTACTAGAACATGATCACTCTGGAACTGCTATTCATATTTGGAACTAGCACTTGAGTCGCAAAATTACTTGCCATCTTAGTGATAAAGTCTTTCGTACTGCTCAAGTGTCAACCATCAAAACACACTGTTATGAAACGCCCAAGGTAGTATTCGTTTTCGTCCTCATCATTTACCTCAAATCCCAGCCTAAGATTTGGGTTGTTTGGCATAAATGTCAGGTGCTTCTCCATTCAGACCCTGCCAAAACGAACTGATGTCGCGGTTGCTATACCGCTGACTAGCAAGAACCCGCTGCCCGTATTCCCGGTTTATTCTTTCCTCCCTGTTCGAAGTGCTGGCTTCCACTTTTTGCTTAATGGTAAGCGAAAGTTTTTTTTCTCTGAATAGCCCTGTTCATACTATTTGCCGCTTTACTCGTGTATCTTCTCACGTAAGCCGACTTTGACTTGACCTCGTCACGGGAGGACATCGATGGGACAAGCGTATGGAACCAGTTTTTGGTCAGTCAAATTCCTGCCGTCTTTGAATGCCTCATTCAAAGTATTATCAAGGCAAGTTAACGTCGATTTAAGGCTTTGATTCATACAATATATCTTTTTTTTTCAAGTGCCCCGATGAAGTGATTTTGCGATTAACCTTCCCACTCCTCCATCACTTGTAGGTTTCGCCCACTGACGCAATTCAGCTGTCCCAGTGTGAGATCTTGGGGCGGGTTCTTGATTGCCTCCCAGTCACAAGCCACAAGAAAGCGCCTATCATGGGAATCTTCGCGTGTTTAGGCGAACAAATTCGCGATAGACTTTCGCGTCTGTCGTGGCTACCCGTTCTGGGAGGGATCAAGTATTCCCCGCCCAGCAAAGTGCTTTTTGTTCCCCAAAAGATGCTCCAGGTCAGCATACTTGTCAATCTTATCAAATAATTTTGTTGTGGAATTAGCAATCAAGTTGGTTTTTATGTAGAATGAGGAGATCAACAATTTGTCATTGTGGGTTTTTTTTTAAAAAAATAAAAGATCTGTTTTACTTTGTCAGCAACTGAACAAACGCTTTAATTTTATCATACTACAATAGTTTCTTCAAATAGTCAATTTCAAGCCATTCGATGCCGAGTTTGACAGTGATTGCGATTGATGTAGGTTGAGCTCAGAGATGCGTCCATAAGCTACGACAGAAGTCCTGTGTGTGGGTACATCGAATCCGTATTTAATAAACGTGCCATTCAATGCTGAACCTTACTTTCGTTCTAGTTGTCGTACACTCGTGCACTATCAATTACAAAAAAGGTGTACTCGAATCGGTTTCTGTGCTACTGCACTACCCATCCCCAAGCGAGATCACGTCCGATTTCTTCGTTAATGTTGCGCTGGAGAAAGCTATTTTTCACAAAATTTATTGAAGGAATCCCTTAGAGTTTGTTCGCACTTTTTAGGTAGACAAGTCGCCCCATCCAGACGACTTTTTAACTCGCCTGTTGATTGATCGACTAGGAATGCACGAACTAAACCCGGATTTCTTTGCGATGTCATGCAATGGGGAGGATGGAGATGAACTTGGGACCTCATGTCGTCAGGTAGAGCGACGCATTGAAAAGCTCGTCTATCTTGGGATTCAGCCGATCTCTGCTGACTCTATCGCTGAGTTAGTTTCCACCTTGTCCGCAGGTAGGCACACTGATTCCTCGCATCAAGGCCACATAATTTAAGCCCGATCTTTAAAGCGTATTTGCGTTTGTGGGTGATCCATTTGTAGACCCACCTATAATCTAATTTAAAATGAGTGGTTGTCACACTAAGCAATTCACAACCGTACAACGTCACATTACCAATTCACAGAATATCCGGGACAGTATGCCTGATTGTCATATCAAGCTTGTGTAGACCACCTCAATGACGTTCATTGTGATTTAAACAACTAATAACTGCATTTTTATTCTTTTCACGCAAGTAATTGATGCGTGAACCTCGCTTTTTCAACCCAGCTTTAGTGTCGGTCAAAGTCAAATGGTACTCAATACCTGAAATTTATTCATTTTGCTTTGTAATATGATCATATTCAATGGTGATTTTATGTTTCCCACCACCCGACAACCGAGTTCATACCTTGTCAGTACCGTTTGTCTTTGCTTAACCCGCTGAGACATCCTAACCGCAAACAGTAACTTTATGATCAGATACACACGCGTTTTTCTCAACAATCGACATCACCGCAGTAACCATTAAACTGATACAGAAAATATGCAGGTAGCAAGTATGTACTACTATTTCGGTAAATGGCCCTGTGAGAATCAATTAAAATGGCAGATAAATTAGGAAAAACACTATAAATTCCACACAGGCTTCGAACAACTTTTTTGGTTAAACTATGCCATGTTTTTGGTGTCCCGATTCAAAGCCATAACTTTGCCTAAGTCAGCCAATAATCTATCATCTCATTTGACCGTGAGTTTGCTCTAAACCATCTACTCTCTCTAATTCTTGCACACAAAAAATCGTTTGGAGGAAATCGTTAGCTGGCTTATAACGTTTCGACAGTGTGGTCGCTTTTTGGGGTGGCTTTTTGAATGTGAAAGTGAGGTTAGCATGATAACGAGTGATTGCGTTACCATGCCCCTCTCATGTTCCTTAGCTCTTTAACATTAACTGGCAGAAAATTGGGCCATGGGACTGGAGTTAGTTACGAGTTTTGCCTTCTTAAGTTTTTACCTTATTATCCTTTTTAGAAGAATTAAGGCGACCAGGTATGTTGTATGCCTTGCTCGCGAACATTGAATCCAACCTGCACCTCAATTATCAACGTCACTTGTCTGTAACGAATCGAGTCGCCTGGCAGCGTCGGTTTCTCCGGACTCTAAGACACCTGCCCCTATTCCCCCTTCTCGATGACCGTTTGGTCAGCTTGGAGAGTATTCAGGAAATGTCTGGCAGTAGTCTGCTGAAGAATCGAAATCACCTGATGGTTCCAGCACCCCAGCCAATTGATGAGGGCAGGACAGCGGCCACCTATGGTGGGTTTATCTTTTGACGCGGGATAATACCTGGGAATTCCTTTCTGTATTGTGGCCGTTTTTCTCAAAAAGGAAATGTTTTGAGGTAGCTTAGCTTGATTTAAACGTTGACAAAAATTTTTGCAGTAGCTGGTAGGTCCTCAATTGTGTTGTGCTTGGTGTAAACTCAGTCGCGTGCGAGTTGTGCATGGTGGATAAGTACTTCTCTTTTTCATTATGAAAACACTGAGAATAATGGTCTAAAATAATGGTTTCAAATAGGGTCAAATAAGTTCTGTTACAAGATCCCATATAATTTGTTATTCTACTTGTATTTAATTTTATGCATTCCTGCCCTTGTTTGATCTTGGACTCTCTCAGTTGACTTCTCTTGTGTGTGTTCTGCGAACGCACGTGCCAAATAAGGCGACAATTCTGTTGGCTGAATATTCACCACGAAAGATCCGGCAATACCCTGAGGGTTGCTGGAAATGCCGCATCAGGGTTCTCGTTTTTGTCGTTTGTAGGCGATTACTTGGTCCTACTGAGCCGACTAGGACCGCTGCTTTCTCCTTCGGCAATATATCCCATGGAATGCGTGTCACCTGAGTTACCGAGTCTTTTGACATGCAGTGTTGACGGTCTCGGGGTCACAGTGGCGAAATCACCACTCGATGTCATCAATTATTGGATTCGTCCTCATCAGTTAGATTTCGACCTCAACGCGACCGAAAACGCCGATTGGTTCATTGCAGCCGCCCAAGTAATGGTTTGGGCCGGCCAATTAGAAGACAGCCTAGTATCCTGCCTGCCAATTGTTTGTGTTGGAAAACCATCCCCAAGGCTATTCCACCCAAACACTGATGTTGCATTTCCGCCTCCAGTCCTGCTGAATCGGTATTCAGAAACAGAAGAAAACCAATTGCTGTCGATGTGCCTAGAGACGATGGATGAAGGGGAGAAGGAAGACGGAGCTGTTCTGGTAGCCTCTGCTGACTACTTTAAAACAGCCGGCTTTTCGCTAGCTTTGGACAGCCTGGAACTGTTCGAAAGGTGGAACGATCTCTTTTCCAAGGCCGGTAATTCTTGAGCCTTTACGATCTCATCTGAGCACCAAATAAGACTTTTGCTATTGCCATCATTAGCTTCCCTTATTATGGTCATTTAAGCAAATTCTTTCCGTGTGTCATTTCGTGGTCTGAATGAAAAAGGCATCTTCCTATTGGAAAGTTCTGAATAAATCATCTGCATCGGAAAATTAATATACGCACATCGAAGAAAATTTTGAGACTGCGTCCACCCCTTGAGCAATATTTCGATCACAGTAAAATATTGTAATAAATTTAAACTTGATTTGTTCGTTTCTAAGGCGCGACTACAAATACGCGCTTAAGTACTAGCACGGTGTTAGAGTAGTTGTCATGTTCATGAGTAGACCACTTTTATTAAAACCCATGTATCGATGAATTTCAGGATTGTCTACACTTCGATCAATTCACGTTCGGAGGTATCGGCTGGAGGAGGGTCCCGAAGACCTGCCCCTCCTTCCTGCGACGCACCCACTGAGGCTTTCTCCTGCCCTTCGGAAGTTGGGAGGCCGTGTGGTCATTGAGGACTGGGTGTGCCCCGGGCTCGAGGACGTGCTGCTGCCCTGGATCGAAAGAACCGTGGAGCAATTTGGTCTGCATGACTCGGCGAAAGTGGCTTGTCAGAAGCTATCAACGGTGCTTTCTCGCAATTGGGTGGAGTCCTTCGAAGGGTGAGTATGTTACTAATTAGCAGGTAACTGGGGACGTCTTCTAAAAGGTTTTAGAACTATCGAGGATGCGACACCTTTTGTAGTTTTTGCACCTTCCCATTGGCTTATTTGCAATTTCTCAATTAAAAGAATGCCATCTGCCGATTTCTGTTACCCTAAAAGTGTTATTACGAGGTTCGGTATAACTCATAACACGAACATTGAGACGGTATGTGGCCTGGAATGCATTTTAGCGGTCTTTACCTTACAATCTCAACATATTGACCCGTAAGAGCCTGAGTTTTACCCACTGGTCAGCTCGCAATACCACCAGGCCAATCCGAGGGCGGAAAGTGTTGATCAATATGTTAACGTGCTTCTTTTTTATAGACATGCAACCTAGTAATTATTGTTCTCCCGTATTTGCCCTGACCATACTTTTTTAGTTATACTTTGGCTGTCGCATACGAGACCACCGCCAACAGACACAAGCCAATTCCGCTGGGCGCCTCTTCGTGGGTCCATGCACTGCGCACACGCAAATGGCTCACTCTCTCTAGTGACTCTCAAGTTTTTGTAGCCTCAACTAGCAGCAACAGTGCGGCGCTTGCCTTGGATTTTGTCTCCACAAACTCCATCTACTCCCCCACTGCTTTCTCGGGGTCTGCACTTTCCTTGGATATGCAAAATATGTTTGCCCAGGCATGTTGCATATGGAAACCTTTCGACGATGACGAGGTGGCTTTGCCCGCGGGCCTTGTTAAGGCTCTCGGACTGAAACAACACGTAGACGAGTCTACCTTTCAGGTAATTTTATTTCACAATTGCGCCTGTCTTCTTTGAAACTAATTGACCTCCTTCCTCCAGGCGTGTTTGTGTGTGCTTAAGAACGGACTTAAATGGCTATCGGGAGAGTTCAAAAAGGACTTCTGGTGTTTTGTGCCTGTGTTTGAAACCGGACTCTCAAACTGCGACTATGCTTTTCCCTGGAATTTTATAGCATTTTATTTTTTTCCCGTAGCATCTAATGAGTCACTTGATAAAAAATGGTGACAATCTGCCAGATTACGTTACACCTGGAAGCCTTGTTGACGTTTACCAACTGGCCTTGCAAACTCTTGGTGGAAGCTCCGCCGAGACCCTGGCCACGATCTTCCCCTGCATCCTCGTGCCCTGTAGTTCACCCCACAGTACTCACAAGAGGTCAAAGAAGACCAGTGAAATCGATCTTGATAATCATGAATCAGACTGCCCGGCCTGTGCCCGCAGAAATGCCCATGCTTCTAGAACACACGGCCAGAAGAGGACTGCAGTTGGTGAGGTGCGGTACCACCTGGTTCCCACGAAGTTGACCTGTTGGCAGCGAGTCCTTTTGCCACCCGTCCCTGTGGACGTTGGCGACGCGAATGACGACGGGGAGATCGATGAAAATGAATATCCCGTCCCCACCTTAAACACTACCTCTGTTAGCCTCCCAGCACCCCGGGTCTTCGACCAACGAATTCCACTGTGCAGTGTGTATGGACCAGAGTGGAAGAGCCTTTTTTGCGATGCTTTAAAGGTACGTCGGCTGACGTCGATCGTCTAAATGTTTTCTTTGTGTAAACCTTATGGCCTTAGCTTGGACACTTCCCCGTAGCTTAGGCTTTCGGTTTCATTGTTTCTCGTTCCTAGCAGCTAGTTCACACACATGAAAAGATTTTAAAATTATCGACTTAAAGGTACCATTGACTTCCTGCCTGGATGAGGTGTTATCCCTGCGACCCTCTCCTCCCCTGCCGAATACCGACTCTTCCTGCTGGCAGGCTTCACATAAAGCCTTCGGTCGCCAACTGGGTGCCTGGTACGCCCTTATCGACTTTTGCCTGGTTGTCAGCAGGCAGGACTCGTGTCCGCCCGATCACCTTGATCAACTCTTGTCATTTCCGCTGCTTTACGATATGTCGGGCCGCTGGCAAACTCCCAAGGACGTTTGCAACTCGGTAAGCCGATTCTGAAAACTCTACTATTTTACTCTCTGGTTTTATTGGTAAAGAATACGCTTAAATTGTGTTTTTATTTAAAAATAGCACAGTAAACATCAAAAGTCTCATTTTTCACACCTGATGATGGGTGTTTTTCCCTCATTCGAGTTGCGTTAGGTTGTAAATGCGAGCTCGTGTATACATCACAAGCAGCTATCTGCCCCGAAATACCATCGGGCTTAAATGTCTGAGGTTTCTTTTCAGGCTGGCACTGCCACAGGGTTGGGTGTGCTCTTTGCTTGGCGTAATCCGGATTTGGTGTCACTGTTAGCTGGTTCTGCTGAGCCCCCACCACCTTGCCTCCTCGGTCACAGCCTGGAGACGCTTGAGGCTTTTGCCACTTCACCCACCTGCGTTTCTACGAATCCGGCTCCCCAAGAATTAGTTCCAGGCAAGGAGGTTGGGACGTCTCACTCTCTTCTGCTAAATGTTTTACAACTACCAGTGAGTTACAAGTCACAAATTTTCACCTGCCTGTGTGACCACTATCACTAAGCCTCTGATTTTTATCTGATTTTTTTTAAGAACAAGTATGTGTGTCCGATTTATCACATTTATTACTAGTAGTGCATGTAACTAATTTCATTTATCCTGCAAATTGTGTCTTAATTCCTGGCCACAACCATGTCGTTTGTTACTCCATTTGACCGATCTCACGTTTCAGTCGCCGTTGATCCATCTCCTTTTTCGTGCTCTTGCAAATGACGCTGATGTATTGCTCTGCCCTAGCGCAGGATTAAGTGTCCCTCGTTATCCGCCTTTTTATTCTAATGCCAAGGGAAATCTCACTGTTCCTGTAATTTATCTTCGGTAATTTCTTTTTGTCTTCCTGGCTTAGTGCGTTTTCTTAATCACTGAGATACCTGGAAACTTGTTACCTTGTTCCTTGTCGTGTGTGTGTTTCGCTTACGGTCTTATTTATCCCAGTAACGGCAGATGACACCATTTCGTAGGGCGGCTTTTCTGCAGGCTCTTGTGTAGTACGTTATGACCCACCGAAGCTCCATTGTTTAATTAAAATGTCTTTTCTGTTAAGGTTTTTGACGAAGTAGTTTCAGTGAGCGTTGGCCTCTTCGAAATTGATAGTGTCCAGCGCAAGGGGGACCGCGTAGCTGGCTTCGCTGTACCCTGTCCACCCCTTGATCACCTTGTGAAGGAGTTTAGGCTCCTAGCACGATCCTGGCTATCTTCTGTCAATAGGCAGCACCAGCGAGCCCCTCCTTCCGACTTTATCTGCGCTACTTCGTCTAACATCATGGAAGCCTATCTTGTAAGTCGGGTTTTTCTGTTCCAGTTTTTAATACTACCCTAAGCCCTGTTTTACTTACACATTTGTGTGCTTCCAAGTACACACAAATCAAATCAAAAGGGAAATTTAACCAAAGTCTCTTTTATCCTCACAGCTTCCTGACCTGACGCTCACACTTTCACTTGCACAATCAGGGCCTACCCATGCGGTTAGACCCAAGTGGACAATTCCTTCAGTTGCATGCCGCTTTTCCAAAGGGAAACTGTACGTCGATAAGCGATTTGAGCCCGATTTCGTCAACGGCATGGCCTCGCTCTTTGGACCTCGAGGATCCATTTATCATGTAATCCTAAAGGAGTTGATCAGAGCAGCCTTCCCAACTTGTCGCACTGCTCAACTTTCACTTTTGTGAGTTGTGTTTCTTTAGACTTACCTTATCCACTTTTAAAGTTCGCCAAAACGATCTTTGACTTAGTATTTCATGCTAGCCTCCTGAGCTCCTAGGCTCCATTCTTGTTTCTTGGATGGGAATTTCATTTTGCCTTTCCCACTTTATCAGTTCGCATAAGATGTTCTCAATATTCATTTACAAGTCTTAGCCATGCCATCCTTTCGGTTGTCTGAGGATACGTCAATACCTCCAGCTTTTAAACGAAACTGTTTGACCCCACTTCCTGCTTGGACAAAGATGTATCAAAAAGCCTAGTTTCAACTTTTATTTGTTGGTTTTTTCAGGCCATGTACTACCACAAAACAGGCCTTTCATCATGCAATCTCATTTAGACCCGTTTGAATAAACGAAATTGCGCTTTCCAACATGTGAGGGTCTGCTAGTTTGTGTATCAGATAATCAACAATGTTTGTAGCGGAATCACAAGTTATTCCTGTTTACCATTGTGCTCGAAGTAAACACACTCGAATGCATTTTTTTGCTTTTTGTACTGTTGACCTTGCTTCTTTTTTCCTTGCAGCCACTTTGCCCGTGGATTTCTCAGCATGAAAGCCTCTTTACTAGCATCCGGCACCAAGAGCGCCGAGGTTTCTGAAAATTTGCGTGCCTACTTTTTATCTCATGGCATTTCCCAGAACAGTCAACCAGGGGAGGAACTCATTCGATTCCTCCTCTTCCCCCAAAACCACCCTGCAGGCTCGAGCCCCACTCTTGCCACACCTTCCACCTCCACCTCAAAGTGTGAAATTCCAAATGTGCTTAGCCTGTCCGGAAGTGGTGATACAGTCAAAAAGAGGACTTCTCAACCAGTTGTACCTGGAGCTACCCGTGGGACGCGTAACCAGACTATTCTATCCGAAGCCTTTGGTAAGCAATCACAGTCGCATTTTGTCGAATTAATTCAGGTTTTTTATACTCATGTCTACTTAACAGAAGTGTACCTGGAAAAAAATTTAGGGAATTTGTCCGCTGAGCTCCTTTTTCTAAATTTTGATTGTTTGGAAGGTGGTATTAAGTTTCGTACTCCTAACGCATGCACCTCAATCCTGATAGCACAATCGTAGTTTTTTTGTTAACATGGCTAGTTAGTTCCAGCTCCTTGAGCTTGTAAATTACACCAAAGCTTCTTTTACTGAAAAGTTTGTGCCAGCTAATAGATCCGTTAACCTAATATTATCACTAGAGTATGAAATCGCTTTGCCGCTCTCCAAACACTTTCTTCAATTTGTTTGTATTCTTGCTCAGATTTTGGCAGACCTCAGTCATTGGCTGTTTACCAGACGGTAGACTCTTCAAGCAGCTCTACCCTGTGGAATGAGCAACTAGTGATGAACTCGTCGCGTTTAGAACATATTCTCGCTTCGTCTGATGTAAAATCGGACAACAGTGACCTTGGTCGGCTCGGTGAACAATCCGTTTACGAATATTTGATGGAACAAATGACTAGCAGCACTGAATTCACATTTCCATCAGGCCATTCGCATCTGGGAATCGGGCGGTTAACTGAGGTGCGGTGGGTCAATGGGGATGGCGAATCAAGGCTTCCGTACGACCTAACAGTGTGCTTAGAGGGTACGTAGAGCGGCCAAGCACACACACTTTTCCTCTGTTACTTTGTGTTTGTTATTGTGTAATGAAATGCCCAATATTTATACGTAATTGGCTGACAACAAGTAAGCTTTTAAAAGGATTCTCAGTGCGCTCTTACCTCTTTTTTTTCTATTAGTGCACTCCAAGATGTCTTCGCTGCCGACAGATTTACAGTCTGAGGTAACTGCCGGTGTGGTTCGCCGGTCGTCACAGTCGACTGCTTCTCATCTTCTCTCTGTCGGTCCCATTTTCCTTGAGGTCAAATCCACCGGAAGTTTACCTGGCGATCAGACGTCGTCTGGTAGGCTGGATCTTTTTGAGATTTCCCTCTCGGAAGCGGCATTTGCTAGGGAAGTTGGCTGGCGCTATCACCTCGTTCGTGTGCACTGGTCGCGCGGCGGCGGCGATGGCAGACAGCCCCTTCGGCCGCAACTCACCCACATTCCCAACCTCGCGGACGCCCTCACTGCTGCCAAGTCGCAACTCAGGCTTTGTATAGGCATGAGACGATGATGTCTCAAAACAGATTCACGAAATATCAATACCTTCTTTCGTATCGCATTCCTCTTGAGTGTCGTTCAGCAGAGTTCATTATTTAGCATTGAACCCGCTTTGAACATTCTTATTGACGTAACCTGGTCAGCATTGGGATATTGTAGAACATGTTTTAAGCTGCATCAGCGCGAGCATTTTTTGTTACTGCTTTGTATACTGGAATTTCGCCTTATGTACGAGAGTGCTCTCAAATTTTTTTTTTAAAAATTATTTATGGACTTGAATTCCCATTCCTTTGCTTATCCATTGCCTTATCGGTTATAATTTTACTTTGTTATAGGTCTCAACTATTGGGCCGAATTGAATAATATTCCGTGACCGGAGGGCTTAGTATATAGACGTGTACTTTTCAACGTTTGCGTCTGTCACCGTATTCTGCTTACCTTAGTTTGTACCTGTGGTGCCCACTTTGGGTAATATTTTGCCTAAAACAGGACTAAATCAGCCTGTTCGTAACCCAAATACTTGTCCGGAATAAATCGGTTAGAACTCCTCTTCAGTAAATCTTTGTGAATATATGAGGAATCGGGGAGACAAAGCAAGCTGTGCTCACAACGTTTCAATTTCGTTTCCACCTAACATATTAAAAAGTGCATTTTGGGTGCCTTTGATTTTTTAATGTCGTGCTCAGTTCCGTACTAAAGTCAATTTTAGTCCCTCAGCTTTCGATTGATCCTCACTCCTATTGTAACTTGCAGGTGGAACTTTGATCTGTGAGGAATGGTGGATGAGTTTGAACCGTAGCCTTTGAACTCTCAGCCTTCACGCACCAAAAGTCTGCGGTCAAGAAGGCTTGTGTTTTAGTGACGGTTACATTATATTGAGTGGGGAGACGCAGGTTAGAGGGTTCTTTGGAGTTCGTCCGAGTATTGGGGATTGGCAGGTCTGCAAAAGTAAATACAGAGAGAGGGGCTACTAGGATGATGGCGTGGTTCGCGGCGTTCGTGTCAGTGCCCCTCCAATCAGGAGAAGACTATTCCCAATGCGAGTGAGATGGTGAAGGTGGTCGACCGGGATGTCCGGGGCAGGTATTAGGTGTTCAGTGTCGGGCGGATGGGTCACGTCGGGTCCGGGTTTCAGACGATTGAAGTGAATGGTTGGGGGGAGGAGGCTGGCCAAATGCGGTATGTCCTGCTGGAGAGTAATTGGGCAAGCATAAATGTATTTGTATAGGGGATGCTTAATTTTCTGTAATAATCATAGTTTGAATAGGGTTAATGCAGCCAAAGTGAACATCTTCGTTGGCAGGAAGCTTAGTATGCCTGATTTTGTAGAATTGTTTTTGATGCTCCTGTCTGGCGGCAAGGTGTTGACGGGCAATATTAATTGTCTTGCAGTGAATATTCACTAAGTAGTCTGAATAGTTGTTGGGGAAGGGTGAGGTCGGATATTGGGGAAAAGTGTCTGTCGAACGTCACAGCCAAACGTCAGGGGGTGGGGGAAAAGTCGGTGAACCCTGCAACGGTAAAAGACTGGTCATCTTGGGATGAGTTTGTCCCAATTGTCATTACTGGACATTGAGATTAATAAATAGGAGAAATCTGTTGGACTTTTTACCCTCTAGTCACTGCCCATGGAATGTCTCCTTAAAGCTTGGTGTTTCACTAAGTTCGCTGAAAAACCGACTCGCGAACTCGTATGCTTCGTCCAATAGGATCTAACGGCATTGGATACTGCTCGGGTTCGTTGGTTGGGGATTTGTTTTGCTATCTTCCATTTGGACAAGAAATCTACCATAACTACTATATATTGTTTCTTTTGGCGTGAGAGTGAAAAGAAGACAATTGTAACGTGGCTTAGAAGCCGAGTACGTTAGGGTTCTTAGGCAGGATGGGCGTGGAGCAGGATTCGCAGACGAGGTGCGCATCTCGATTTATATTAAATGGAAAAACGCTAGTGCGTTGTCTTGTCTAGTTTGTTTTGTCCAGGGTGGCCAGCCAGTTGTAGAGACTCATATGTACGGAGTGAGACTCCAATTCTAAAATTGCTTGGAGGTTGAGGAAGACAAAGTTGTTTTGAAAATATGGAACGTCGCAGATTAGGATGTTGTAAGAGGCTGATAACAGTAAGCAGGCTCCCTGATTTTGACTGCTCATCTTCTCGGCAGGCAGATTGCGTTGGCCAAGTTGTGGTCGATTTAGATAAGGGTCGAAACATAATGTTTTACCCAAGTGGAGGTGTAAAGTGCATGATGGTGACGTTGAAATCAGCATATTTACTAGTTATCCTTCCGTTAAAGACCGCAATGAGAGGATACGAGAAATGATATTCGCATTGCTATATTTATCCCAAGAATATAGAGGAGTTCTTGTACTCTAGCCCCCTGACCTCCCAATGAAAAGTAACAAAGGCAAATGAGAGCCTGAAGGTCACTCTCTACACTCTACAATAAACTAAGAGCTTTTTAAAAATGATGATGATGGCCTGAAATTCATGCCTGAGAACTCTAAACAGTAGCTTCAATGTCACTCTAACGAGAAAAATTATTCAGTCATATTGACCAGGTACAACATATAATAAAATATATGCGACCGACTGTACAATTGCATTTGTGTTTCTGTTTTTGTAAAACACCGTTCACCTTGTACTCATAAAGGTATTTTGGAATGCAACAATTGATGATGATGATGTTTATTTCTAAATTTGGCAGACAAATCTCCGTGAAAAGACCATTTAACAGATTGACATTTAATTTCTACTGCCTTCCTTAAGTTACCAAATTTTTAGCACAGAAAACGTAAAAGGTTATGTATTTTCCTCTTCCTGTTTTCAATTTTTTTTTAGGATAAAATAATACAGCTACAGAACAGAACAGAAAGCTTTATGTAATCCTGCCATTAAAAATCAGTACAATTAGAAGTTGCTTCACAAGAAAATTATTTTTTTACAAAACAGTGTTTCGCTATATAATCTGAACATTTTTACGCATTTGTATGAACGTCCATGATGTATCTTAAATACACTTTTTAAAATAGTCAGTTTAAATTCGACTTAATTTTTGGGCCTCAAAATGATTTAGTTGTCAACTTGAATATATTCAGCAGTATCATCATCAACACAGTAAACAATTTTCCTTTATTGATGTATTTAATTTGGAAACCTTTCACCTTGTTTTTTGTTATGTTAAGTAATACTTAAGCCGGCTTTTTTGGTACCATACGTATTAGGATTTTCGATCGTGAGTTTTGCTCTATAACAGTTCGTTATATAAGCGGTGTTAGCGCTGGTGTAAAAACCTTATGTGTGTATACGTGTCTCATTAGAGGCCATTATATTTTTATTGTCGTTTTTAATACCTGTGTAAATAATTTATGTTTAGACTGCTTTTTTGATTGCGTATAACTGACACGACGGAATTCCATAAATACTGTTACTATTTTTACAATATTTGGCGCAAATTTATGGCGTTTTTAACTTTGCTCTTTATTTTTAAGGAGTAAATGTCCTCGGAGGTTCACTCTCATCGCCATGAGAGGTGCCGCTCCCCTTTCGGTGAAAACAAGGGCTCGAAAAACCGCCAACGTTCAGTTTCTCCCTTTGGTGGTGATTACAAGTGTCCCTACCGGGATCAGTTTAACCATCAACGCCTACAGTATAAACCGTTTGAAGTGGGCTACCAGACGCCTGAATTTTGGCAAAAGCGGCGCCAAGCCAGAGAGGACGCAGGTGCCTCCAGCAACTGTAAAGTCTGGGAGGCCCCTCCCCCAGAACCTTACACCGATTCAGAAGATGGGGATTATCTAGACGCTACCCATGAAGGACCTCAGCCACCCGTCACAACTTTAGACAATGACGGATACAAGAAAACGGAAGAATGCAGTAAAAAGAGCAAGAAGCATAAACACCATCATCGCCACCACCGCCATCATCATCGCCGCCACCACCATAAAAAATCAAGAAAAAAGCATCATCGAAGCTCCTCTTCATCCTCCAGTACTGACAGCGAGGAGGACGAGGCAAGGTCATTTATTCGTCAAATGAAAGCAAAAAAGGCGGAGTTGGAACGGAAAAGGCAAGAAGAAGAACAAGCCACAGAGATCATCGGTCCTGTCCTCCCTGGTGCTAACGGGGCTGAGTCGTCGGCCCAGCGACTGGATTATGGTAAGGCACTTTTGCCTGGCGAGGGAGCTGCGATGGCCGCCTACATTGCAGAGGGCAAGCGGATTCCACGTCGTGGCGAGATCGGGCTTACTTCTGAAGAAATCGAAAAGTTTGAAAAGTCCGGCTACGTCATGTCAGGTAGCCGACACCATCGTATGGAGGCTGTGCGTCTAAGAAAAGAAAACCAAATATACTCAGCAGATGAAAAACGAGCCCTCGAGAGTTTTAACCATACGGAGAGAGCCAAGCGAGAAGCCAAGTTGCAGGCCCAATTTAAGGCCCTTGTTAAAAAGAAACTGGAAGATAAGCAGACTTCGGGAATGTAAATACGTACGCACTGAAATAACTGTACCATATTACTTTGAATATATTGCCTGCCTTTGGCACAATTTTACCAAATAAATGACTATAATGCACTTAACCGCAATAAGTTTGTCGATACTCAAAATTTCTATCAGGCACTCGATAAAACTACTTGCCGTCGCGAATAATACGCGTCTGGCGTATGCATGCGTTATTTAACGCTGACTGAAAACGCTGCCAGCCTTTAGCCACCGCCTCTCATTCAGTAAACGTACTTTCCACAAGTGCCCATGGCTAACCTGCCCAGTTCAACACCAGCAAGATAAAAGCTGTGTTGGATGCGCTGAAACATGACCCTTTAGGAATGCTTCTTGCTGTACCTTTCATACCACGCGAGCCTGAAGAAAATCTTGGTAATGCTAACATTTTAGCTAATTGCTAGTCCCCCAGCGTTTTACTGGCACAAGCCCAGATAGACGATTTTATTGGATTAATTACTTTAAAAAGTACAGAATGTCACAGGTACTCGGGAAAACAATGCTACATAGTATGAGGGAGGCTATGTGGGTTTGTGTATAACGCCCTTTTCCAGCAGGAAGTTGTGTAATTCATCAAAGGACCAGAAGAAGAATGGCGTCGCTCGTTGAACTACCGGGCGAGCAATAACACCACCGAAGCCGAGAAACGCATCAGCTGGGGGACACGCTGCCGCATCTGTTAGCCCATCGCCCACCATCAGTACTCCAGCACCCTCTGGAAGTTGCGATTTAACCATGGCCACAACGTCTCGCTTTCCATCGGACCGAGAGGTCGGCTGAGTACGGTCAAAATCAATGACCCGACCTTAAAAGGGCAGGAAAGCAGTGCAAATTAGCAGACCATTAAATCTTAGCGGTCGGCTGCTATAAAAAAACGAGGCGAAAGGAGCCGACAAACAAATGCGCTCCCATAAGAAGGGTTCCAGCTTTAACTTCAAGCTGTGAAATTAGGAAAACGTCAGTGAGGGTAGGGTCCGTTGGGTTCCTAAATGGTTTTGACTGAATCGGTTACCGGTGTATCTGATTTTTTAGTTAATGAGAATGCCATTGGAAGTGCCAGTTATCCTACTTTTAGCAACGGCGCTCATGGAAACTCAGGAAGATTCAGGATTAAAGAGCCCCAACCCGACGACTACCGCAGAAGTAATCAAACTAGTGATGATGCGTTGGGTCGACATTCATGGCTAAGAAAACAGCGCGACCGTAGTGCGTCACAATGAATAATCATGGAGATGCGTACCATTGGTGTCGTAGATGAGTCTATTTGCAAAAACGTGGTCGGTTGGTACATTCATGTGTCGGGCTACTCGGCTGACCAACTCGTATATCCCTCCGCTCACAAGAAAGAGCTCAATTTTGCTTGAGCGCAACGACGCAAATAGTTCTCTGGTAGAAAACACGAAAATGACCAAGAAGATAACATCTAAACGAAGAGAAATGTCAATGTATTTCATGTCATTTGATTGCTGGTTAAAAGTATAGGGTCTCATAAGAAAGCCTGGAAAAGAAATGCAAACTAATTATGGTGGTGATGCCGTAGCTGAAAAAGAACAGGGTTTCGACGGTATGTCCACAAACTTCTGAAACGATCAGCAACACGGCTTAAGCTCATGCCACGACGACTATCCAAAGGGCTCCAGTTTTAGACAGCGCGGTTTCAAGCGCTAGATATAGCCACATTTATAGGAGGTCGCGTAAACAGGGAGTAAACATTACCCGTTGATTTAGTTGCCACGGTGATAAATACAGAAATTAAAAGTAAAAATTGACTCGAGATACACTAAAACGACTCGACATAAGAACTGAATGATACAATTGGGCTAACTCAGAAGAATTTGCCGAAGAATGAATAACAAATGCATTAGATGAAGGAACATAAGAAATAATGGAATTTTATACAGCAAAGAAGATTAAAGCAGAGGAGAAAAGAAGTACTAGTAGGGGCAATGCTAACTATGTAAAAAAACGCAGAACTAGAAATGTGGGCTGAATGGAACCTTCTTTACATAATTATCATCGTCAATTGCGTTTTGTTACGAAGTGCACTTGTTTCGATGGCATCCTAAATAAACGGGGGAATCAACATCTCAAACAATTTTTAATCCCTACAGAAATTAATCAAGGAAAAAAGTGTGTGCATATGTAAATTTGGGAGACAGATGCCTTGAATTGGCGAACGCACACGCAGGCTTTGCATAGAAGAAATTCGAAAACTTATAGGGTCATCCGGTGATTACTCGCAAAAATGTCTTCGCCAAAACTTATGAGAGTCAGAGGAAAATGAAGATTTACTCAACGTACTCAGCGCCAGGAGTGATTCGCACGGGATGTTTCTCTAGGAAGGTACTTATAACGTTCTTCGAAAGTTCAAGAGCCTCTAGACGTCGTTCGAGGGCCGTCGTGAAGTCTAGTCTTCCCTCCATGGCTTCGGTTGTTCTAAAGTAAATCCATGCGACATGATCACACACTGGAGTAATGTCGCTGGCAGTTGTGGTATTGCCTACGAACGCTACTATGAAACAATCATAATATCCGGTAGGTCCGATTGAGTGCATCCCTTTGAAAGATTAAAAACAGCAGTAAATGGATGATTTGAATAGTGCTATGATTAAACTAAAGAAGCAGTACAGCTTGAAAAATATTAGACAGCAACAGCATCGGTTAATTTATGCACTGACAGGGACCAGAATATCAAAAAAAGTCTAGGTTGGGTGAGCACACTTTTCACCCTCACGATGAAAAACTAATCAAGACTGAATGGGTGTTTGTGGGAATCAATTTTCGGGCAAAACACGGCACAGCTGAAATTTTGCAATTGGATAGAGCAAATACATACCTGAGGGACAAATTTGTAAAGTTATATTTCGAGCCGTGCTCATGTTTACATCTGCCTTTAGCGACTCGTGAAAACTAAGCAGATACCTGTGAGAATTTTACCTGAACCGGACTACAAGCCTTAACCATATCCACAAAATCATCAGCTGATTTGACCAAGTGAATAGATTGGAATACATGATGATACCAAGGGAATATTGGTAACAGAAAATATAAGCTATAAAAGTTTAAAAATGATGCAAAATCAACTAGTTGGTGTTGTACTTACATGTTCTGTACAAGCTCTGCCCTGCCACAGTATGTCGCTAGCATGTCGATACCTTCGTCAACACAGACCGTGGAATCTACGTCAAAACATATTGCTTTGACGTTCGAGAAGTCGGTCATAAGTGATCTAAAATAACAAATACGACCAAAATACTTTATCAGAAAAAGCATTTGCAGGTCTTTAATGTTTAGGAGGCAAGAAGGAGAACAATTTCTACGCATTCTCTTATTGAACCACATGGACAAGCAACAGAAGATGGGGATTATCAAGACGCTACCCACGAAAGGCCTCAGCCACCCGTCACCACTTTAGACAATGACGGACACAAGAAAACGGAAGAATGCAGCAAAAAGAGCAAGAAACACAAGCATCATCATCGCGGCCACCACCGCAAAAATCAGGAAAGCAACAGAATTAAGAACGCAATAATAACTACCCTCATCAGTATATCTGGAGTGGAAATTTTGGTTTCTTTTAACATGACATGGTCTCTATCATGTAACATAGAACACCAACTTACAATGGATGGCGCTTGTAGTATGCGACTGACAACACAGACCCAAAGAGCTCCTTATGTTCGAATACGCAAATTATTCATGGTAATGGTAATCTTTTAAAGTGTAAACAATATCTGAGATGGCTAACAGGTCCGGGCTACAGATTATGTAATTAAAAAAATTTCATAAACAAGTAAAAACCATTAAACGGAAGACGTTGTGAACATATCTAGCAATTGCTAGAACAACAGTTTCGGGTGAAACGCTGCTATGTTAAAAACGGTCACGCTACTTCATACCGAATCCGACTGCAGCTGCGTTGCTCGTTGTTTAGTGCAGTAGGAGTGTATAGGTTGGGTTTTTAATATGACAATGTAGTGTGGCTGTGGTGTGGTTTGTGGTGTGGTGTGGCGTCGGATCAGGGCGCAGACATGTTGTACCACCTGGCAGCAGCCAATCCCGTGTCTCTCTGCAATCCAATGGTATGCGGGAAAGGAAGGCAGCCAACCAGAGAAGGACATGGATGAGATGA